AAAGCAACAACGGGAGGACCGAGTGGCACGAAATAACGGCGGCTCGGATTGAGAGTCTCACGGATTGGAGCTTTGTGCCGTCTTCGGCAGGAATTAGCCGACGACTGAACTCCTAGAAAACGCGACAAACTTGGTCGCCTCGGATCTTTGTATCCTGACCGTAATCCGTCGAGGTGCTTGATAAATAAGACAAGGGTCAAACAAACGGACGGACGGTATCGTTTCCCAGCTCTGCCTTTAAACTTCGGCCATATAAAGCGAGGTGCCAGGGGGGAAACCTGATTTTCTTGGCTTTTCCTTTCGCTCAAACGGACCTCGGGAATAAAAAAAAGGGCTTGTTTGGCATTTTTTGGTAAGTTTATTTTTATGTTTCACTGAAGCGTGTCTGACGACGAAGTGCGCCTGTGCAGTGTGAAGCGTTTTAGTTAGTACGCCATAAAGAGGGGGGGAGACGCTGGACTGCTATTGTAGCTGACACGGTCAACATTTTTGAACTTTTGGAGCTTTTTCTTCCGCGAAAACAAAAACATGGTGTCTAAACTCCCAACGGTTTAGCGGGTAGGGGGATGAGTAAGACATGAAATATATATTTTTAAAAAAAAAGATTGTGGGGGTCGCCACATGATCTCATCCCCGTGGGTTTAGTCTACCACCAATGAGTAATTCAGTGATTCCATAATTGTTAGCTAATGTTTGTGTTACACTTCAGCATTTCTTTTGTGGTTCAGGCGACCTAATCGCCGGCAGTGGCGTAACCTCGCAACTAAATGCGCAACTATTGCTCTTCCAAATAAAGATTAGAGCCTTCCAAATTAAGAGTAGCCTTCATATTATGAAACTGTACGTTGTGAGGTGTCTCCACCCCTGATTGATATAATTGAATAAAGACTGCAGTGGGACAAAATGTCAAACAGTGGTCTAGCACTTATACTGAATCACTGTTTCATGTATGTAATAGAAGCTTTTGTGAATAGTTGGAAGCAACACCTGTTGCTTAAAAGCAATTTGCTAATAATGGTATTAATCACCTTAGAACTACTTTAACTAGGAATATTTGATTGTTAATAGTGTGTCTGGACTTAGACTCGAGTACGACAATGCAAATGTTTTGGTGGCTGCCTTTGTGAAGAGGCTACACTTATCTCTTCGAACTGAGAACTTGGAAGTGGAACAAAGCCTGAGTGGGAAGGGGCGAGAAAGCAGACTGTGATGGATTGCTCATTCTGCCCCCACCCTTTGCGGCCAGTCCCCCCACTCATACAAAACAAAAGTCAGCCATCACACTCTGGGGGAGGGGAGACCCAGTCTGGATAGAGTGTACCACTAGTTTCATTGAGAGTTCAGAATAAGGAGAGCAGGGTGGGGGTGGCAGCTGTCCCATAATTGACTTTGAGAATGAATGAGAACATGGCGATCTTAAAACATCTGAGTCTGTACTCTTGAGAGGACGTAGGCCTTCCTTTTGCGATGATCTCGTCTTTAGTTTAAACAGTTTGGCAGCTGGGAAAAGCACAATACTAAATTATGGTTTCTGATTCTTTTCTAGGTGAAAGCACACATTTTGATAGCCCAGATGGCTACATACACTGAACATAACGGCAGACATGGACTACCTTTGGACATGAAGGAGATGCTAGAAGAAAAAGTAAAGACAGAATGTGAAGAAAACCTTGAATCCAAATGCTCATCCAAGGATTTGCGTGACTCTCCCTGCTCAGCTGAAAGCAACACAAGTGGGGTGGCTAGTTTCACCACCAACCACAACTCTGTTGTGTGCCTGCCTCTAGTGTCAGAGGGACTGAAACTGGTATGGACACAGTCTGATCAGACCCGTGAACTCGACACCATCCCAGAGCTGGTCAAAGCCTTCAACTTATTTCCCTACCCGTCGTCTCGGGAGGTTAGCGCTCTAGCCCGGGTCTGTGCCTTGCCACTGGACAAAGTTAAAGTGTGGTTTATGGTGCAGAGAATTAAATATGGAATTAGCTGGTCCTCGGAAGAAATTGAGGAGACACGGCGAAAGCTGGCAGTGCCGGAGCTTTGTGATGACTCAATTGAAACAAATGAGGAAGACAAAATGGAAAACAACACAAGTTATGAGGAATTGATAATTGAAGACAAGGATAGTGAAGAAGAGGGGAGTGCTCTTTCTAACTACCCACCTCAGACAAACGGCCCAAAGTGTGAGTCACTAGATTCATACAAGCCAGCCAAATCCAGCACACCGTGTTTCAGCTCAACCCTCCCACCGCCTCAGGATTCGTACTTCTACCACCCACCAGCAGACACGCCAGCAGCCGATGTTTCCTTTGACCTTTCAGACTCTTCTCCACGACAGCACCGCCATGGACGCTACAAAAAGTCTAAAGCTCAGCTTGCTGCCCTTCGCAAAAGTTTTCTAAGAGAGAACTGGCCTGCAGAGGCAGAGCTTAGACGCTTGCAGGAAGAAACGGGGCTGAGCCGTAACGACATTCGTAAATGGTTCAGTGACAGTCGTTACCAGCTGCGCGTCGGTCGAGGAAGCCTGGCAGCAGCCCAGAACTTTTCTCAGCAAGCTGCTGTGGGAAGTAAACATGATCAACAGTCTCAGCCTCTTCCACTTATTACTCAAAAGTCTCGTCAGCTGAATGGGGCGAAAGGCCATGAGCCAGCACGTAGCAATGGGATTAGAAATTCACACTTCTTCCAGACCTTTTTGTCAAATAGCCTGGAGGCATTTGGGGAAAGGGTTCTTGAGGCACAAGGGCACGATGTTATTGAGGATCTTTCAGGGGAAGGAGACACTTTCAAAGATGAGGAACAGTGTGATGAACGACCCTTACAGTTGACAAAGACTTGCAAGATTGAGCCAGATGTTCCCCTGGAACCATTAAGTATATCCAAATACTCTCCTTATTCTTCCCCCTCAGACAGCCCACCATTGTCTGTCTCACCTAACAAACCATTTTCAAACAAAATCACCACATCAAAGAAGCTAGGCCAGTCAGCCAAAACCAGTCCCTCCACATCTACATCCCCTGCCCTCACTCCTGCTGGGCGACCAAGAAAGACCAAGGAGCAGTTGGATGTGTTAAAGCAGCATTTCTTGCGTTGCCAATGGCCTAAGAGTGAAGACTACACTGAACTTGTTAAGCTTACTGGTTTGCCGCGGGCAGATGTTATTCAGTGGTTTGGGGACACACGCTATGCTGTCAAAAATGGCCAGCTGCGCTGGGTAAAGGGGGTCCGTGATCAGTTCTTGGCAGAGCTGGCTTCCCAGCAAAGCAGCTGCGGTTTAACAAACGGAAGTGGAACAGCCTCTCGGCCCGGGGGTAGCCGTAAACGAAAATCTCAAGCAAATGGAAGGAGTGCAGATTCCCCAGATATCCAGCCATTGGTTAACTATTACCTTTCAAATGGCACACTACATGAAAAAGACCTTGATTCTCTATGCAAGAAATCGAGAATGAGCTACCAGCAGGTGCGGGATTGGTTTGCAGCTCAGGACGTTGGGGAAACTGAGCAGGAATCTATTGTTGTTACTTAATAACATTTCTACAAGTTGAGGTGCTCTTCAAATAATTTGCACCATGAAGCATAAATATTACTTTGGTTAATATTGCTTTAACTGAGCAGGTTTGTAACATTCAGTCTTCCCACTACAAGCCCAAAGTGAGGTTTGTGTTTTATATGTGCTGCATTCCCTGCTTTCCCTAATATATTTGGACTTGAAATACCATTGTGCTGCCTACATTACTGTAAATAGCGCAGCAACTTGTACACTGGTTTGCTTTATTTTTTGAGCTTATTATTTTTGTTTAGATATCACTACAGAATTTCTAGTATATTATGTAGTTTTATAATTTAAATTGGTTGTACATTTGGTACCTGACTGTAGCAAACAACCTACTGCTCCATAAAATGTCTACATTGACAAATTTGTTGACTGATCACTGTGTGTAACCATTCCTTTATAGCCAACAAGTCCTCATCATGAAAAGCACACTGGACATGCACACTTTAAATTGACGTCTTGCACTTTGGTTTATGATCCTGCTGCCGTTATGTTAATTAAATCCAATTATTTCACAGAACATAAATTCCTAATTGTACAGTGTTGTTCTTGATACTTTTAAACTCCTCACTTTTCTTTTTAAGTTACAGAAAATACAGCTAAATTTAATAGCTACAGCGTATTTTTGAAACACATTCCTCAATATCCATTTAGTCTCTCTGCTGTAATTCTTAGTAAATAAATAGCTTGCATACAAGTGCACCTTTGTGACAGTAACAGTCAACAGTACTAAGAAGCAGCAGACACATCAATGGCATACAAACACCAACCCACTCATTGATTCAGTTTTGGGTTTGTTTTGTTTTTTTCTTTGGTTCCACCCCCCACCCCTATTCTGTCTTAGTAGTTAACTTTCAGGTTTATAATATAGACAAAAACAGTACTGTGTAATCCAAAGAAGTTTTGTTTTTCAGATAACATTATTATTCATAACCCAAGCATTATCAAATTGTCTTATCAGTTTATGTATTTATTAGTTATTTCCTTCATGGCTGTGTTTGAGAGATGAAAAATGTTTTAGTTGACATACCAAGAATGAAGTGGGCTTTAAACAGAGTCCGTTTAGTTTCTTAGAAATGCCTGGACAAAGGCTGGAAATGTTACGAGGCAGTGTGCATCACTTTGTTTTGTCATCCTGTTAGTCAGGAAAAAGCTAATGTGTCATACTTTGGGGAAATGTTCATAACATGTAGTGTCCTCCTTGGTTGATGTTCTCTTTTTTTTTTCCCCCCTTGTTGGAAAACTTCTTATTTGCACATTTGTGTCACTGGAAACCAGTAAAGCATTGACCTTTATAACTGTGTGCAAAGTCTTTTGTTGTTGTTGTTCAATGTACTCTATGAATATATCTGACTATTTATTTTTAATCCATGTTAAGTTTTGTTGTGAGTGTGAACCACGTGAAATTAATGCATCAGCAGTGTACTTGCAGAAAGATTACGATGACTCCAACTAAGTTGTCAGTTTAATTCCTTAACAGAACAACATAGTAATATCAACTTCCATTAAAAGTAAAACAATGTATACATGCCTTTTTTGTTATCAGGGCAAAACCACACAACAATTTCATAGTCCTAATGCACAAATCTCAACTAATGAACGCATCCAGGGGTGTAAATAGACATTTAATCAGTGCCTAGGTGACTGAACTGATAATCCACTTATGAACTGTAAAAGACCAGGAGTCTGGGTTCTGGGGATGAAAATGAACTGACTCAGTAACATGTGAAAATATCAAAAGCTTTTATAAATCTGCTACAATGTTTGATAAAAGTTAGAATTTGTAAGTAGCTGCCAGGTAACTTTTCCCTCACCTGGTAGGTGTGCTTAATGATGTAGGTGTTCCTTTTTAAAACAAAGAGAAAGATTTTGATTGGGGATTGGAGGCACACAGTATCCAATTTGATACAGCACATTTTCCAGTTTGATCACAGCATCCATGGCAGAGCTAAAAGAGTGTGTTTGCAGCCACACTTACTGTATTCATGAAGAGAACTATGGCTGGAAACTGAAGCAGCTGATCCAGGAGTCTGACAAAAGACAAGCACAAGAAAGTTTCCTTTGGTTTTTAATTTTGTAACTTCAACATTCTAAATGGAACCTTCAGTAGTTTTAATAGCAAAATACTTGATGTACTTGTTAAAGCTGATTTTTGGTAATGAGTGAAAAAAAACTTTCAGGTTTTATATCTCAAGGAAGCTCGTTTTTTATCATGGAGGTACCATGAAGGAAAACACCATTCCCTTATTTTATCAGCAACTCAGCCACTTCAACAATTGCGTACAGGTCCATAGACAGACTTATATGTTCACAGGTTTAGTCAAATCTTTAGTAATTTCAAACACATAATCCCCCCCCCCCAAAAAAAAAAACAAAAAACAAACAAACCCCAAAACAATTCAACAACAAACAAACAAGCAAAAACATTTAGATCATTAAGTGTGACTGCCTGGTTTATAGTCGGCTGTGGGCACAGACAGCTGGAGAAACGACAGCTGATTAGACATTCCTGCTTTACATCTGGGCACACGTGTGCCTGATGCATAGTAATGTAAATTCTCCACAGATGAGTCTCCACAGACACAGAAACCCCCCCTCAAAAAACAGACAGGCATGTGGACCCTCGTGCTTATTGTATGTCACAGACACCTAAGTGTCCCAAGACTCAGGGACACAGAAAGTAGAAAACCCGCTTTTAAGCTGTGCCTTTTAGCTTCATAGTTCAACTAACCCTTCCAGGCAGCTCTTATTTGTGTGGTGACAGTAGATGAGACAACACATTAGGTTTATTAACAGTTGTAGCTCAAATCCGTGATGTTTAAAACAAGGAAGGGGGTTAATTTAAGCCCAGCTGGGCTTGAAATACACTTGTGTAAACCCTAAAGATGATGTTGATGATGAAGATGGTAAGTTTATGCCTTGAGAACAGAAACTGCTGCTTGGCAGTTAAAGCTGGTGCCTGAAAATGCTCACAAAGCTGACTGCATTCAACATTATTTACGAAACAGATGAGAACAAATTATTAGCTCTCCTATGAAATTTAACCTACTAGGACCTGGCATCCACATATATAGACATCACATTTTGGGTTGTCAAGACCAGTGGTTCTCAAACTTTTGTGAGTTTGAGAACCACTGGTCAGTGAGTACCACATCATAAAATATATGGCTCTTGAAGTACCACCCTTACGGCCGAAATTGAAGTACAGTAGTATAGGCCTATTTAACACCACATACAGTTTACACAAGACAATTTTATTTCTTATATGAATGTTATTTATTTTAACTGTCATAAACAGGATGTGACGAGTGATAATAATAACAACTGTACTGTATTAAAACATTCACAGCAGGTGGGATATCCAATCTTTAAGTGAAGACCTGATGAAACCTGCGATGAAACGATGTAACGACAGCCCAGCCCATGCAGCAGTATATTAATGACTAGCCTTATATTGCAGTTGTTCTCCTGTCTGAAGTTTGGTCCATTTACTGGAGTTCAACTTCAGTAACCCTACAAACACCACTGCTGTTTAGTTTTCTGTCTTCATTTATGTCGGAAGTGATAGCAGAGCTGTATGTCTTAATTTTTGCTGTGGCGGTTAAGCTGCTGAACCTCCTTCGTGGTTCGTGCACGTCAAAGCTCACTTTGCTCTTCGTGGCGTTTCAGCCGACGACACGAAATAGCATCATGTGGTGGCCTCGCTGTCTACCCGCTGTGTGATGACCCTCCTCCAGGATCCGCCCACCCAAGCGAAATACACCGCTCTCAAGGCTCTTCTGGCTCCGGCTCCCAGAAGAGCCTCGGGAACTTTCGTGTCATCTTTGCATACCTCTACAATGGTATATTATTTAATCTTTAAAAAACTGGGAGATTTCCCACATACCACCAGAGAGAGCCCAAGTACCACTAGTGTACCACTCTGTGTACCAAACTGTGGTACGCGGTACGCGTACCACAGTTTGAGAACCACTGGTCTAGACCACAATACTAAATTTTGCTCTACAAGGGCCTGATATCCACTTACAAGGACATTATACTGCCACTGTTCTATTGAAATTTAAAACGAATGTCCTCATATCATTTTTCTCAGAAACTACATCAGGTAAAAAGATAATTCTTTATTTTTACATTCATCATGTCCCAATCAGTCCAAATCGCAAAGAGATATTAAAAATGCATGCCATGAAAGAGTCTGGGTCTTAGGAGCTTAAAGTAAATTTTTCTGAGAATCCTTTTTAAAGGCTTGAAACTTTCCTTTTTGATAGTTTATAGTAAGGGCTGGATTAGGTGACCCAGAATCCTCCCTTCGTTATGCTGCACTGGTGGGCTTCCCATGATGGGCTGAGTGTTTCTTCGTCACTCACCTTTCCCCCTCACTATGTGTTTGCACACCACTCTGCATTTAATTATTAGTCATTATTCCTCTCTGGCTCTCTTCCACAGCGCAATTTTTGCCCCGTCCTTCTCCCCTTATTTCCAATCAGTCGCGGCATATAAAGTGCCTCAAGGTGACTTTTGTGATTTGGTACCATATAAATAAAATACAATTTATCTGAGTAACTGACTATTAGCTATTATAAGGAGAGGTAATAATGCTGATCTGGTAGTTTTTGGTGTCTGTGATGTAATTGTGTTTCTGTGTGCAAAATAAAATAATGTAGGGATCCTAAATAAAATTAGAAAGTTTGAATAAGCTGTGATAGAAATGCATTTCTTTGTTTAACAGCACTTGGGAAATTATTTAAAAAAAATTGTAAATTTTCATAGGAGAGCAAATAATTATAAAATAATAAATATATAATAATAGTTGTATTATATAGGTTTATTATTATTATAATATAATCATAGTTGTCAAACTCAATCTAATACTTTTTACCTTACAGTTATTTTTTAAGACAAACATGTCTTGATATATTTTCACTTTTGATCTGCATTTCCTTCACAAGTGCACTGCGAGCACACATTTATATGAAATTTTACTAGGATATATTTGGTCATTAAATTTAGGTTCAATAAAATAATACACTGGGTAAAACTGGAGACTTACATTGAGGGAGAGACTAGGACCTCTGTGCATGTTCCACCTCTGGGACTCTGCTGAGCCTATATGACTGACACACATATATCATATTTGAACAGTCACATGATACAAAGAAAGAAATCAACTACAACATGACAATAAGATGCTTACCTCATGGTTCTTGAAAGAGGCGTAACTAGAAAAAAAAGAAAAACACAAGCTCAACATGAACATGAACCAGAAACGATTAAACTAAGCATCAGCGGTCAAACTGTAACACTTCAATCAACACAAATCACTGGGGTTACCTGGGGAGGTGACAGCCACAGGGAGGGACATCCTCTGAGTTCTGTAAATGAATGGGTTATTACTGCTTCATTTAAAAACTACAAATGAAGTGAACATGTTAAAATGAAAAAGAACTTTTACCCTTCAGTTTGAAATTGTCCTGGAGAGAGCTGCAGAGCAAAAGAAGACACTAATTCATTCAGATGAATCTTTTTGGTACTCTTGTTTTAAAAATTAGGCTTTTGAAGACTTACCCTCCATTGTGAAAGTGGCTTTTTCAATTCCATAGTTTCTTTCTTCACCTCTAAAAGCTGCTTTTTTAAGTCAGCATTCTCTCTTTGCAGGTCTGAGAGTTGCCTTGGAATAAGAGAAGAAGAAGAAAAACACTGCGGTTGGATGGTTTTATTTACACTGCCACAGAGGAAATAATAGCAGACATTAAAATCACCTGTAACTCTGCTCGGTGACTTCTTTAAGGCGTCTTTCCAATTCAGCAGACTTGTGCTTGAATTGTGCCATGACTCTCTCCATCTGCATCTGCTGAAAGATGACAATCTGGGAACATGAAGACATTGTTACTAAATGATAATTCTGTGAAAAATGAACAAATCAAGTTTGACTAGTGGGCAATAGCTCAGAGATTCCCAAATAATCATAGCAGAGAGATGCATTTCATTTTTCAATCTGTAGCTAATGACATACCAAGTTAATAGTAATTGACTGCATACACTGGCATTTAACAACCCGCTATAACAATTAAAAGGCACAGAGGCAATGGGGCTTGAAGTGGCACGATCTGATGTCGTCGTGTTGGTGTTGTTCCCACATCATCATAATAAATGTTGTTCCAGGTTCAACATTGCAAGTGACCAATCACATTGTTGTGACGTAATACTTTTGCGGGTTTGGAAAAAACACTGTAAATAAAAATCTACATAACTTGCGAGAAACCGCCTCTGTCCGCCGATCCAGCAATTTGAATTCTTTGCATTTCAGGATGCTGTTCTTTAATAAACGGTAAGCATTATACATATTGTCCTTGCAACATTGGAATTTCATAAATGAATGAATGGCTTGGCTTGCAAAAGTATTACGTCACAACAATGTGATTGGTCACTTGCAATGTTGAACCTGAAACAACATTTATTATGATGATGTGGGAACAACACCAACACAACAATATCAGATCATCCCTTGAAGTGCATGCTGCCTGGCAGGGACAGACCTGACACATGTGCTCTAGCCGTGATTGGATGAGCTTCACTGGGTCGTTGAAAAACATTTTTTCCTGCGGCTTCATCTGAAGCAGAAATACATCCACATGACAAAGAATGTTGGATGTCTGAATTAAAGTGAAACAGTAAGCTGCTCTGATTACGTCAGACTCACCAACCTCATTGATAGCCAGATAGCTGCAGCTGGCCCCACATACAGTGCACGGATCTAAAGCAGATGGGGAGGGGGAGGGGTTTTAGCAGCCTCAAACTTTGAGTTGCACTGCATCACAGTGGAGACATACTCATGAGGAAGTCTAGTTACAGCTCAGAAGCAAATGAACTCTCTCACTTGATTTAACGCATGCTTCACAGAAAACGTGGCCACAGCTGGACGCGGCAAACGTGGATCCTCTTCTTTTGAAGCACTGGTTACAGTGGAACCAGACCATTTTTGTGTGTTTCCTAAACACACACATACACACAAAACAATCAAACAGACACAAGGTTATTGCCCAGTTTACTGGCCCTTATTTACCTTTTGAGCCAGAATAAACTGTTGCACACCCACCTGTCTTTAATAGTTTCATGGGACTCTTAAAAAAACAGCTGCGATCTTATTATCTGCAAGACCCCCATCAGTGCAAAATTTTATACCACACTCTTTTTGTACAGCTTTTTTTTTCCCGTCCTCATATTACACACTGGTAGCTGCAGGTAGTCCAACTTAGAAACAGAACTTATGTGTTGTCTTGCACACAACTCAAAATTACTCACATGAAATAATTACATAAAAGCCAAACCAGAGTTCAAAGGTAGGAAGGATAAAAGGTGATGGAAAAGGAGTAGCATGAGAAGAGGAAGCCCAAGAATAGTAATTTCAGATGAAACATGTCCAACTGTGGTAGAGCATGTTTTTCTTCTGGGAGTGGTTGGTTAACAAAACATTTTGAGGGGATTTTTTATTTCCTTCTGTGTATGCTTTAACGTCATTCCTGCGTGTACAGTGGAATCTTCTTTTTTTTTTACTTTATTAATCAAAATACTCAGTCTGCAGAGGCTTTCACGAGAGACGTCAGGATTTTATTCGAGCTTAACAATGCATATTTCAGTCTTTATATTAACTTATCAATTTGTATCCCTTCATTAAAAAAAATACTGAACAGAAGTAATTTAAAAATATATTCTCAATGAATCCCTCTCAGTTTCCTCAATTACTCACTACAAAGGTGACTCTGACATTAAGCTAAAAAAATGGCTTTACTCACTGAAAACTAAGTTAAACTCAAACTGTCACAAAGTATTAGCTTGCTAGCTAATTAGCTTAAGTTGTAGAAAACGGCGCTCAATCAGCCAAACAACTGGAAACACTGGACACTGGCAAAACACTAAAAGAAAGGACCCTCATATTGGCTTCCTTTTTTTTTTTAGGTGTCTTTCTAACCTTACCTGCTACACGGAGCCACTGCTTTGACACAGGAGCAGTTAGCTCAGCAGTCCCCGCCTCGGGAACCCGGTCTGTGTTGTGATTGGCTAATGAATGGTGACGTACGTGAAGTCTGTATCACGTACACTTTCTCTTCAAACCAAGATCCGAAGTGGAAACGTTTAGAATAAGACCGTGCTAGGATTTACTATACACAAGTTCTGCTTCTCAAACAGCAGTCAAGGATATCATGCCTACCATCTCCAGTTTAATCACTGTTTGGCTATAAATATTCGGAAGAATTTCCTGTCCGATTAATAAGACGTGAGGAACACGGGGACGCTGTGAAACTTGTAAGTGCCCTCTGTTCCCAGGAATCTCTCTAGAAATACACTGCTCAAAAAAGAACGGGAACACAAAAATAAGACATCCTAGATCTGAATAAATGAAATATTCTTATTAAATACTTTGTTCTTTACACCGTTGAATATGCTGACAACAAAATCACAAAAATTTTCAATGGAAATCATATTTAGCAACCCATGGAGGTTTGGATTTGGAGTCACACTCAGTATGAAAGTGGAAAAACACACTACAGGCTGATGCAACTTTAATGTAATGTCCTTAAAACAAGTCAAAATGAGGCTCAGTGTGTGTGGCCTCCACTTGCCTGTATGACCTCCCTACATCGCTTGGGCATGCTCCTGATGAGCTGGCAGATGATCTCCTGAGGAATTCCCCAGACCTGGGCTAAAGTTCCTGCCAACTCATGGACAGTCTGTGGTGCAACGTCGCGTTGGTGGATGGAGCAAGACGTGTCCAAGAGTGCTCAATTGGATTCAGGTCTGGGAACGGGCAGGCCAGTCCGTAGCACCAATGCCTTTTTCTTGCAGGAACTGCTGACACTCCAGCCACATGAGGTCTAGCATTGTCTCACATTAGGAGGAACCCAGGGCCAACTGCACCAGCATATGGTCTCCAAAGTGTTCTGATGATCTCCTCTCTCTACCCAATGGCAGTCAGGCTACCTCTGGCGAGCACATGAGTCAGTTTCTGATTGTTTGAGCAGAGACACACACACACACTACCTGAGCCACTTGTAGACGCCAGCTCATGCTACCACTAGAGTGAAATCACCTCCAGCATTCAAAAGTGACCAAAGCATAGGTACTGAGAAGTGGTCTGCTGTCACCACCTGCAGAACCTAGGAGGTCTTGCTAATTGCCTATAATTTCCCACCTTTTGTCTATTCCATTTGCACAACAGCATGTGAAATTGACTGTCAGTGCTGCTTCTTGAGTGGACAGCAGTTCAAGTATGCTGGTGGTATTGCCTAGAATTCATATAGCATATTTAAAAATAAAATTTTACAAGCCTCGTTTATAGTGACTTTTATTCCATGTACTGGAGTCTTTAGTCAACTCCCCTACAGCTTTCTTAGAATTAGTTGCCCCATTAGTTGCAAAATGCATGCCTTTGGATTTTGCTAGTTTGTATTTGAACATTGATCGCTCAGTACATTTGAATAACTGAATTAAAAGACACCCATGAATACTTAAAGGAGAGTCATTTATTTACGCAGCTTTGATACAATTGCACAGATCTGAAATGCAAAGAAGCGCCGACAGCCTGGAAGTTAAAAACCTCAGTTGAGCCTGAAGTCACATGGATGGAGCCATTCTTGAGAGCCGTCCGAGAAGAGGATGTCTGTACCACTATTTCAAGGAGAAGCTTGCCTTAGTGACTCATTCTAATCTGTGATAGTGAGTGGACCAAGGACTACGTTTTGTACTGCACCATGCTTCCCTGTGGAAAAAACAGCGTTGAGTCCTGTACAGCAAGAGCACAGTTATAAAAATGTAGAAATGTATACCTGTCACTAGATCCCTCGTCTTTCTGGCCTTGCAGCTGGACTCACAGCAGTCACATAGACTGCTGTGTGTAGGGTCGTCAAGCAACTCCCAACTGAAGTAGGCAGGAAGAAATAATCACTGAGCTTCTGCCGATTCCAGGACAATTTAGTCATAGCTCAGCATTCAAGCTGAACTACAACATATCCAATACTACAAACTACAGAGTCAAGTAATATGCGTTTTACCCATAATCTTTGATGTAGTGGCAGGCCTTCTTAGTATTGCCAAGTCCGTTGGGATCCCAAGCCACAAGGCTGCAATGAATAAACACCTGCAGGATGTATAGTATTCCACGATTAACCAACAATCTGCTTCGTTTCCTACATTCAGTTCTTGCAGTTAAAGACATTTACCTCTCCTCCCACAGCAAACTTGAAGGCTTGAAGGGATAGCCGGATCTCTGAAGTCTTTTGCCTGGGTTCAAATTTTGAGCGCGATTTCTTACTGTCGACAAGACATCTGAGGTTCAAGAGAAACTGATTATTTCAAGGTCTAGTCAACAAGAATACCCAAGTCAGTGCTTCTTGATAGCACAAGTTTACCCCTTGTTGGTGATTAATGGGTATAGAGAACTTTCAGGCTGCAACTCAGGTGTGGTGGCAGCGACACATTCATCAATGAGTAGCAGCAATGGCTGATGGGTCTGCTGCTCCACGCTAGCCATGATGGCGATGATTGAGCCCAGAGGGAATCTTGTAGATTCAGCAGGGCCTGAAAAGTTAGCTAGATTTACACAGAACAAGGTGAGCCGCAGGAATGTTTAGGACTGCTTCTATTTTCAGGCACTTTCAGATACCCACCATTCATGAGTCCAATATGAAATACTAGTTCTTCTAAACCATAGGTACTAAACACTGGTTCATAAACCAGGGGGTACCAATCTCTGGGCCTGCATGAAACAGGTTAAAAGGTTGCATTTTTTTTTATTAAACATCCATTTGCTTTTTTGTTCAGCATTCCATGTTACAACATGTCCACTTGCCTCTCAAATTCACAGACAATCAAGTCAATGTACGAAGGGATGACAGAATTAGGTGGGGTAATGTACGTCAGGTCATTGGCGTAGATTAGTCGTTTGCCAGTAACCTGTGGGGAGGAAAGATGAGTCACCAACCTGTAGGAATAGACAGTTCTTTCATGCACATAGTTCTGGGCTACTCACAAGCCTCCTGAAGTTACAGTCATTGAAGTCCACAGTGAAAACAGCTTCCCTGTCTGTGAGGCTTGTGGGAAAGCAGCTGCCCAGACGGAGCAGTGAAGTGTCCATCTGAGATCTACCATCTGTCCACACCAGTGTCACAAAACCACCTTTACAATCCAGTTTCATGTCTAAGTAGAGAGGGAGGCAGCAAAGGGGATAATTAAAAACATAAAATTCTTACCCTTAAATTCTAAAAAAGAAGCCATTTCTCATTTAGACATTACCTGCATTTACTGAACCTCTTGCCACCAGGCCCAAAACAGCTACACAATACCAAAGGGAGGCCATGATGACTGAACACTTGGTGCTGGTGCCACTGGTGTTTTTATTCTCTTACTACAGGCTAATCAACAAAACCAGGTTCACCTGCTGTGTGTTCGCAGCTACAGGTGCAGCAGCAACAAGGTGTTTGCAATAAAGAGTTCAGTTGATTTTGATGTGATGTGAGTCACATGATGCAAATCTTAATATTTGTCCAGTTTAGTCAGTTTCACATCACATTACGATCATGAAAGCAGTAGTACTGTAGTCTGAGAAGGTAACGAGATGTTATATCAGTATGTGGCAATTTCAGATCTAGACAGTCAAATTCAGAAAACAAAACCGGAACATTTACAGCCGGCTTGTTTCACGTCATCTCACAGAGAGCTTTAGTATTAAACTCAGACAGAGTCAAACGCCAGGGAATAAAAATAAGTTTTAAATCTAGTTTTAATGTTGGAATGCTGTTCCACAGTGTGGGGGCAAAAAATGTCTGAGTTTAACTCTAGATTGAGGGACAGTCTGAAACATCTAACGGTCTGATTGGAGGGACCTGGAGCACCACAGGGCTCTAAGAGGTCAGAGATGTAGGAAGGAGTTAAACCATGAATGACTAAACAAACAGGGGGATTTTGAAATCAATTCTGAATCTCAGAGAGAAGCTAAAACAGGTGGCTGTGAGGACCCAAGGAAAAGCTGCACAAGCAAGAGACAGTAAAGTCAATTGCAGTGTAGTCCAAATGAGAGGGATGCCTCTCAGATGGAAAAGCCTTAATTTTCCAATATGGAGCAGAGGGGTGGGGGTGTGTGCGCATATACAGTCAAATATTATACCAAGACTGATCACCAAGCTCAGAAAAACATCCATCCAGTTTAATTCATGGTTGTAGAGGGGCTGAGCCAGTCAGAGCTAATAGAGAAAGACAACTATTCACACCTGTTAACGCTCACACATTTGAAGTGTGGGACGAAGCAAGAATATCCACAAGGAAACTGAACACATGCAAGTCAACTTCAGGGGTCCGTTCTTCGTACCTCGCTAAGTAAGTTAGCTGGATTTGATTGTTGACGATTTCGCGTGATCTCCGAAGCTCATCCGGGACTTGCTGTCATAGCAACAGATCCGTAAGCGTAAACCTGCTCGGGAGCAGGCTTACTTTATGTAAACAGGATTAGATCGCGGCCACTCAGGTATGTCCGCTTCATTTATACGAAAGCAACAGCGATATTTTACCACTGTTTTTCCATAAATAAATATTATCAATGTAACTAAAGATAATGTATTTGATTCTTTTATTGATTCCATACAGATACATACAGGTCATTTCCTAAAAAAAGGGAAATGTACTATTAATCATTCTATTTCATGTAATTGATTATTTCAGATGTAATTCATATTTTAGAGTTGTAATTGTAAATTACTTCGTGTAATCAAGATGAGAGACCACGGCTATAAAAGCGAAGGTGGATTTGGGAGGTCTGTTGCAGCCATGTCCTGTCCGTATACGCGAGCAGCCATTGCGGAAGATTGATAAGGAGAGTTTCCAGAATTCAGCGTATATTGCGGGATAGACAGGATCCTTTAGCTCAGCGCGACAGTGTGCTCATAGAGAGATATCGATTTCCCCGTGAGGGTATTATTTACTTAACCAACTTGTTGACGAGGGGGTGCAGGACCACCACCTGTCTTTTTTTGCTCTGCCCTTTTCTTGGTTGCTGTTATAAACAAACTGATTATTTCAGGGACTCTTTTCAAGAGACTAAAAGCAATACAAGTGATAAATATTACCATTCTGTAGAATATTATATTTCACTTTTACTTGTTCCCATGTTCTAGTGGGTCCTGTCGTGGCTCTAATGTGAAAGAGGATATAATGTAATATAATATAATATAGTGTAATATAATACATTTACCCTACCGCCTACTGGTGTTGGCCAGAGGGGCCGATGGCGCGATATGGCAGCCTCGCTTCTGTCAGTCTGCCCCAGGGCAGCTGTGGCTACAACTGTAGCTGCTTCCACCAGTGTGTGAATGTGAGAGTGAATGAATAGTGGCATTGTAAAGCGCTTTGGGTGCCTTGAAAAGCGCTATATAAATCCAATCCATTATTATTTTTATTATTATTAAATTACTTACTAGTTTAATTTGTCAGCAACCTTCTGCCAGTCCTCTCTCCTTGCTTTTGCAGCCTTTGCAGTGTTCCCTTGCGTTTTAATTAAACTCTGAAACTCCTGAAATCCCTCAATCAAGAGTTCTTGCTCTGCTGCCGAAAAATACTGAGCGCGCTTCTTCGACATTTTCGCCGACCAAAGGATTGCCAACCAATGTTTCTACTATCGATGCGTAGCCCCTGTTAAGCCACCCAGTGATCTCACATTACTTCATCCAGCTGTACTAATCGTCAACAACAGGTGTGTTCGCTCAAAGTTAGCGCGATGATTTGATCTTGGATGTAGTAAGCGAGGTACGAAGAACGGACCCCAGTAAAGCCCCAGCTTATTGTTTTGACCCAAGGACCTTCTTGCTCCGAGGCAATAGTGATACACCAAATGAGGTTTTGAAAATACAAGTATCTGAAGAGCACACACTGTCAGTTTATACAGAATAGTCATTTATTGGATTCAAATGCAATTCCAGAAATGTGACTTTTACATTTAGAAGGCATTTGACAGTAGGGCCCACCTTCCTACTGATGCACAGCATCTCTGAAAAGCAGCAGTATCACATAAAAATGGCTGGTGTTTGACAGAACAAAGTCACAAGTAAGAGTTTACAATGTTTTAGTTATATCAAGAACAAGTATCATTTTACAGCAAAAACCCCAGAATAATGAATACGCAAAACAAAAATCACACAATCACGACGTCCTCGGAGGTTATCCGCCATCAGATCCTTCAGTCATACTGCAGTCGATATCCGTTTTGACCAAGCTTCGTCACACAGCTTATTTGAGCTGTGGGTCAGCTGTAGTGGCAGACTCCATCATTGTGTCACTGTCCCTCAAGTCAGATTGGTCCACAATGATTAGGGGTCCCAACACAGAATTGTGACTCGGACCGTCTGATGCTGCAAGGAGAGTTGAATTCATGAGTGGTGAAGCACAGCCTGCTTCTTTAAATCAGATGTCATTTGAATCCCTTTCAAAGTACAGGTCTGATAGCATGCAGTCACATTAAAGACACATGAGATTACCCCATTCAACACCCCTCCTGGACCGAGACTTGCAGCTCAAGTCACAGCAGTTACAGAGGGAGCTTCGGGATGGGTCATCAAGCAGCTCCCATCTGGAGATGGGGACAAAAAGAAAAGCAGTCATGTGGAGCATAACTTCCATATTCAGCAAGCCTGTTAAATGAAGAATTAAAACAAAACCCTGTAGTTCAGCAGTATGAAATACAGTTTAGTAAGTACAATTTTGCTCAAGAACACTTGAACAATTTAAGTAAATCTCTTTTTTAAGAGTTCCGATGCTAAAAAGCTTATTAAATGAGTGTAACAGTAATGTCATTTCCATTTATCCAGAGACTGAGGAAAAAAGGTAAAAGACTTGTGAAGTACAAGTTGTTGAACTCAATAATCACCTGTTAGTTCCCTTTATATAATGACAGGCCTTCTTGCTTTCGGCAAAATTTTGAGGATCCCACACAGCCAGTTTACAGTGGATGTACACCTGAGGAACACAGGGCTCGAATTAAAGTTCCTTTAAATATTTATTCTTGAAATAATTTAACCTGTTCTCACCTCTCTAAAACCAAAGTTGAAGGACTGGAGGTAGAGGATGATGGAAGACGAGTGGTACCGAGGCAGAAACATCGAATTTTCTTTTTTGCTTTCTAAAAGACACCTGGAGAAATTGGTAAGTCAGATTACCAATACGCATCGTTTCCACTACACTGAGTACAAAGTCTGAACAGTACTGGAACCCTACCCCTTGTTTCCAATGATTGGGTAAACCTGGCTGCCAGGCCGCAGCTCAGCTGTGGGGGCTGCGACACATTCCTCCATGAGCAACAGCAGTGGCTGATGAGACTTCTGCTCCACTGCTGCCCATATTGGCATGGGGGAGCCCAGAGGAATGATGTTCGTCTTTGCTATGCTTGATAGCTCCTCTGTGGAAAAGTAAATGCTAAGTAGTGTGCATTTTAACACGTGCTTGTAATTTGGCATGGTGAGAAGTTACCATTGAGAAGCGCCATGTGGAAGACCAGCCTGCCGTGACCCTCGGAAACCCCATATCCAGGGTTCACGAATCGGGGAATCCAATCCTTGGGTCTGAAATAAAAAAAAAAATTAAGAATGGCAAGATTCTACATTTCATACAATTTCAGTTTGAGAAAAAAATACAAGTGTCACAAACCTTCTGTAAACACATTCAATGGGATGCACAAAATCTGGAGGGTTTGGCTTTGTCTGTGGCCTGTAGCTCATTTCATTCTGATAGAATATGCGTTTTCCCTTTACCTGCAAGACGGAAAAGCAAACAAGTGATTAAATTAGAGCTCACAAGTGAGTGGAAGCTACTGAAGTTGCATCTCTCAGAGTACAGTACCATTTTAGTAAACTTGCACTCGGAAAACGTATAGTTGAACTGTGCTTCCCCCTCTCCAGAGGGCAGAACCTTCCACTGAGATGCCATGCAGTTTCCAAGAAACAGTCGAGCTGCATACGGCACCAGCTCCGCATTCACCCTCCATGTCACCCTCACGGAGTTGTTTGCACAGACCACGTTGATGTCTGAAAAATAAAACAAAACTCACGGTCATCTTTTATGTGGACAGAAACACTTAAAATGTTTTATCTGTGCATATATGCCTGAAATCCACCCACCCAAAAAAAAGAATATACATACCTGCATTGGCAACAGTTGTTGCAAAAACAGCCAGGACAAGCAAATCTAGGTAGAGATGAGTCCCCATGACTAAACAATCCTGTACACATTGGGACCAACATGCTTTATGAACTTCTTGCTTAATGACCTCAACCATCAACACCTGTGTGAAAGCAGAGCCCACGAATCACAGACTCAGAGTGCTCTATGAGCTCATCACTGTGTGATCGGGTGGACCTTGAATGAGTGGTATCTTTACTTTTACATTTCTTTTTCTTACTACATTTGCTTGACAGAATTTAAGTTTAACGCATTTCCTTCCTCTTATCAGCATCTTTCTTCATCATGAGAAAAGATTAATGTTAGACTTGTTTTTTATAGTTATCTTTGGAAATGCCCAGTCTTACAGAAGAAAGTGACACGTGTCATATCATAGGCCACTGAAACTTAGAGTATTACTTTCCATAAAGCTTACAAACTCTATGTGGATCAGTAACTTGACAAGCTTATTTGAGTTTACTTTTGTTGACATGCTAGCAAGACTTGGAAGAAATATCCTAGAAAGCATAAATCAGGTAAACTTACATGTGCACGTTTAGTTGGCAGTTGTCTAAAATTGTATTTTTGCACCAACAACATAATTCCCAAAGAAAGCTGAAAAGTTTTAGCACAGTGGGCAGTGTCCTTAATGAACAGCTAGAGCACAAGAGAAGAAGAGGGAGGACTAAAAGATTATCTACAGCTGGTATTCAGTACCTGAAAGTCATTTCCTTAGGAAGGGTGGCCGTCAACAAGCCATTCTTAAGGAAGGAAGAAAGGGGTGAGGTATACCAAATTGCTCAACAACTGGACTGAAAATCAATGAAACAGGTCTTGGAGTGATGAGTCATTGTGACTGGAATTATGGTCTGTATGTATGGAGGAGGTTAGGAGAGAGGTGAAATAGTGAGTGTCTATATGGTGGAGGCTCTGTCATTGTTTGGGTCAGTATTTCAGCCACTGCTGTTGGGGATCCTGACAAAACCATTAATGCAGAAAAGTGCCATCAGACTTTAATCCACCATGGGAAAACATCTGAATGGCAACAGTTTTATTTTTCAACACACACGCTGACAATGCAGTAAGAGCATATGTGAAGCAGTGTGGGATCACCATGACAGAGAATGGGACAAAAGGCAGGCGACATCCAGAGAAGAGCTTTGACTGTTCTTCAACTTAAAGGCTACCTGAAGAAATGACAAAAAAGCCGCCTAAGAGAGTTCAGACTGTGATAAAGAATAAAGATGGTCATACCAAATATTAACTTTCAAGCTCATTAGAATTGTACAAACTGTTTTTGCCTTATATTCTGCATTTATGTGTATTTTGTGTGCTTCAATAAATCACATTTTCCTGGGAAATTATGCGGAAATGACGAGTGATTCAAGACTTTTGCACATAAGGACTACTGTTTATATTTGTTCCTTTTGCAGTTCAAAATAAAGTATAGATGAGTACAATTCAGCTGTCGGAGGCAATATTTTTATATGATGTTGCATCACTACTGAAAATCGATTACATAAATCTATAATGGTATAGCTTTTTGGAAATTTGCTTTTATTTAGCTGCCATGATTTTACTTACCAAAACTTTTGTACATATGGGGTATAATTCAAGCCGTACAAAAGTACATTCTTTTGTTCACGTGAAATCTGCCTGCGACTTTAGAAATAGATGTATTGAAATAACAGATATATTGAAATAACTTAAATGATCTTGTATTTAGAAGTTAACATGTCAGAGAGGAACAAAAATGCTGGTGTGTTGTGACGGCGTCATGTCCGGAATGTTAGCCCGTGACACAGGAAGTAAAGTCCGGTTAGCAGAAGAAGTAGATTGTTATTCGGCAATTTGCTGTTTAGTTCACCAAGCTGTTCATAAAATTTGTTAGTATTATTTTCTTCATTCAGCATGTTGATCAAAGTCAAGGTAAGAACATTACTTTCTTTGATTCTAGCCCGGGCTCCATGGGTGGTGTTCAGTCCCGTCTCTGTTTCTCGATATCCCGCTAATATCACAGAGCCGGTTCGCTCATTTATTTCAGGGCCTGGGGCAACAGAAAACCCAACTTACACCCGACATGCTGTGAAACAGATCAGTGTTAAGCACCCGATCATTCAAGCGAAACTGCTCTTTCTTCACTGAGTTGCTATTGTTTGACGTTTGCTAACACTCATCGTTGCTAACATCTAGTTTTGGTGACTGAAAACAGGTTAGCCCGTGCTGTACTACAACCAGTGAATAGTTTATAGTTGTGACAAAGCAAAAAGGGCAAAAAATGTTTAGGGTTTACACTACCGATGACACGAGACTTCATTGTGTACTTGCGACCGAAATGTTGACGTGTTTCTAAAGTTTAACAGAGTCTATAAACAGAGATATGGCGACTTGGCTAGTAGTGAAAATAATCAGTTTTTCCATTAACCGACACGGGCATCCTTTTCGAAACAGCTGTATGCAAATCCACAGTTCAAATCATCTGGCAAAATTACATCAAATTTTGGATCAAAAAAGTCCCAAAAACATTTATTTTAACCGTAACTGTGTGACAGTGTTTATGTACAATAGTATAGTAGCTGAAATTCCCTGGCAGCTTGGCTCGAGCCCAGAGAAAATCCTTGGTGAATTCCTCCTTCTTCTTAACCATTTAGGATTGTGAAAGTTCAGTGTTTCTATAATCGTTTTGTTGTTTCAGACTCTCACTGGAAAAGAAATAGAGATTGACATAGAGCCCACAGATAAGGTAACATCTTGTGATAAATAGTCCTTGTTATATGCAGCTGCTAGATTTTGTTGCTTAATCTCTTGTTTTTGCTCAAATCAAGGTGGAGCGGATTAAAGAAAGAGTGGAAGAGAAGGAAGGGATCCCACCGCAGCAACAGAGACTTATCTACAGTGGAAAACAGATGTGAGGCATTTTGCTCTGCAGCTATCTGCATATGATCTCCAGGTGTTCTCCTGCGAACTCTAATCATCTCCTGTGTTGTCTTGTGAACCTCAGGAATGATGAGAAGACGGCAGCAGACTACAAGATCCAGGGAGGCTCAGTGCTCCATCTTGTGTTGGCGCTAAGAGGAGGATCAACAAACCACAGTTGCTGCTTACCCCTGTCCTCCACGTCATGAGTCGCTGTCATCATGGGAAGCCGGCCGAGTGCCAACGCTTTAGGTGTCTGTCATCGTCTAACCATGTTTCAACGCAGAAATCTGAAATCCTCCGTTTCCAGGCCGACGGAAACGAGAAAACAAAACAAAAATCAACCGGAAACATTAAAAAGAAAAAAGGACGTTCTAATTCCTTTGTACTTGTTTTTGAAATCCCACACTGGCTTTCTGAGTTTGACCAGTTAATGCAGGCACCCATGAAGAGACAGTTTGACAACACTGTGGTCTTTTTGCTTGTGAATAAATGATGAAGTTGATCTAAGTGTTGTCCTCTGATATATATACACATATATATACACACACACACACTGAAATCAAGTCACAGCTGAGGATTCTGGAAACAGTTTTTAATTAGAAAATGACATGAAATTGAAGATTGAAAGACAATCCAAACTGCTGTCAAATGATTCCTTCTGTGTCTATAATTTAGTTAAGGTAGTGATACAAACAGTCTGGTAAAGACTCCAGTGAAATCCATGTAGAGCACCGTTGCTGACATCCAGTACGCGGAGTGGTTTTAAAAGGGGTTAAGATGAGTTATCAAAGTCATATGCTGGCTTTGTTTACAGTCATAAAACTCTTGTGCTTATACTTTGAATATCTAAAATATACATTTTCCAGACAGCATCATGCGTGTTTTTCCTTTTGCGTCACCATACACTTACATCAGAAAATAACTCATTTTGGTAAACAACAGACAAAGAATAGCATTAAGGAAAATCCTTGTATGGGAGTGATTAAAAAAACAAAACAACTCAAAGTTAAATAATCTTGGCCTCAAAAGCTAAATATTACATTTTAAGAGAGGATGAAAGGCACAGGAATGGTTCAGGACATGGATATTGCTGATCAGGTGAATAAAGGGGGGGAAAAGATGAAGGACCCAAGGTTGTGTTTAAAAGCTTCCTTTCATCCAAATTTCATATATTTGCGTTTCCTAATAAAATGATGTGTATCTGATATAATAAATTAGTTGTAGTAGCTCATTAATTAGTGTTTGCCTCCTCTCAATCAGTGTAAAGACAAATTTATTAAAAGCATGCATAAACTGCTGTGTGTGTGTGTGTGTGTTGATCTGGTGGATGACTGACAGAAGCCCCTCAAAGTTTATATTACTGTGGAGTGAAACACTGAATACAATCAGCTGTAGCAGCTTGTAAACAAAAACCCTGAATGATATCTAATAGACAGTTGTCGATGCAACATTAAAAAAAAGTATTTTATGTTTTTCCATTTTGTACCTGCATATTCCAGTGTCCACTCCAATAATCTCCTTGATCTATTCCTGAGGAATGGACAGATGCAACTCCATACACGAGGCTTCTGAGAGAACCGTGTTTCTTACACATAGAAACAAGAGATCAGGGTAACCGAGGACCGGCAGTGTGTAGGGTGTGTCAGTAGAAAGGCTGCGTCAGAGAGAAACGACGCCCGCTCATTCACCCACAGACTGGTGTCTCAGTCCTGTTGCATTGATTGGCTGAGATCACTGACCGAGTCCAGGGAAGGAGTCGATCTGGACCGTATCCTGAACAGCTGATCCTTGGCTGGTGTAAGAGATGCGGAGCCTCATTTTTAGATTGACCTGAAAGGAGAAGCAGGACTTAGATACACACTACTACACTGAGCACTACGTCTCCTGTGATTAGAATACAATAAGCCTGACGTGGGGCACATATTGCAATGATCATGTCAAATACAAGATATTTGTTCAAGATGAGAAAACACCTCGTATTTTAGCATTGACACAGAAAGATTGCAGATACAGTCATGCAAAAAGTAAGTGCAACCACTGAACCTGTTGGCTTTTTGACAGAATTTAGGAAGCAAAAATTTGGATCTCTTTAAAAAGTGCCTGATATAAAAACACATTTTTGTTGTCGTGCTCATGATTTAAATGAAAAACACCTTCAGTAAATACACCTCTGCATTAATCACACCTAAAATGTGAAAAAAATGAATATGACCCAGTATTTCCAGATGAGTTGCCAGTAATTGGTTTCTCTTTAGGAAGTCACAGGTGAAACCTTTGTTTCGTAAACCTCTGACATGTCGGCTCTGGTTTTCTCTTTGTCCTTGAAAGTGAGCATGAGTATAAGAGCATAGGAGATTCTTTGAAATAAATCACATGACTATAAGGAAACTCATGTACAAATGGAATAGATGCGAGTAAACCCCAATTTGATATAAGGACAAAAATCAGGCCTTTTGAAACAACTTGCTCTGGAGAGAAAGTTGAAACAGGGTGCTGGAAATGTTATGGTTTGGAGTTTTTGCTTCTGGTTCCTGTCTTCTTGCACACACCATCCATCCATTCTCTTCTGATTATCCAATTCAAGGTCAGAGGGGGTTGGAACTATACCTGCTGTCAAAGACTGGGAAGTAAGGTGCACCCTGGACTGGTTGCCAGTCTGTTTCAGGGTTAATACAAAGGAACAAACAACCAATCACACTAGCATTCACACTCATACCGGCCAATTTACACTCACCAACTGCATGTCTTTGGCCTGTGGGAGGAACCCAGAGAAAATCCACACAAACACAAGGAGAACATGCAAACCCCACACAGCCTAGCTGGCCAGTGGATTCAAACCCAAGATGGCTGTGTTGTCACGTGACATTACAGGTGCTGCCCACTGAGAATCAAAAAGGTTCGCACCAAGCACACTTGATCTAAACTGATTGGAAGCTAAGCAAGGCCGGGCCTGTTTAGTCCTTTGATGTTCGAGGCTGATTAAAGCAAATCTGAGCCTCTGTCTAAAAGCCGTGAACGTTTTTAACATGATGAGCCCAAGCACACTGGCAAAGTCACTAAGGACTGCCTCAGGAAGAGGAATTGTAGCAGCTTAGGCAAGATAGAAATTCCACATTTGAATCATGTTGAAATGTTACAGGTGATTTGAAGCAAGCAGTACAAACCCTCAGATATTTTGGGAGCCGAAGGAGAGAGAGAGATCAAAAACTTCAGAGACTAGTTGCAAATATGCCAATTGCTTACTTTATTTCTGCAAAAAAGCGCAGTACTAACTTCTGATGCCAATGGTGTATTTACTTTTTACACAAATGAATATTATATCTTGACATTCTGTTGAATAACTGATCAGAAACCTTCGACCATGTAAACAGGCTTCAAAGAGGAATACATTTATCAAAAAAAAAAAAAAGCCAACAATTTCTTTGTGCTTACTTTTTCATGTGATTTCAAAAGCGTGTGTGAATACCAGCTTTATTTGTGTGTGTGTTTACACCACCTTATTGGGGTTGTTGAGGACCACCATCTGGGTCACTTTAGCTGTGCCTCTTGCAGGAAGAGAGTCCCCGCTGGGGGCCTTCATGTGTAACTGGACACTCTGGAAGGAGGATCAAATGAAGCTTTGAAGTTGAAAGCACCCAAACCCACACACGTTGTTCAAATCCATTTGCTGCACTGGTGTTTACCAATGAGACGTGACAGGGGCTAAAAGTGACACCTATCAGTAGGGCTGTAGGGCAGGACATTAGAAATGCAGAGGTCCTGCTTCTAAAGGTTTTACTAAACAAGCTGCACAAAAAAAAAATCTCAGAGCCTCAGAAACAGTAATCTCACAGCAGCCACTGCGCTCCTGCTATAATCCGCACATACTGGTTAAATGTGTGGCAGACGGTGGCTCTTGAACAGCAGTTTAATCATCTATCAGTGAATGATTAGGAGGATTTTATTGCTGGTACTGATACAAACCTTGGGCACTGCAGCCTGCAGGGTGAAGCCTCTGATGTCTGACTCAGTGGAGTTGGAGGCGGTGAGTGTGACGGTCAGGCCTGAATCGGACTGTTTCTCACAACTCAGTGTTACAGTCACACCGTCCTTCTCATACACAGTCACTGTGGCAACTATGGAAAATACAGTGTAGAAGGCTGCATTAGCTTAAAATCAGTATTTAGCCACGGAGAGTGCATCAGTCCCTTAAAGAGCAAACTTCAATTCAACCCTATCCACCTGGTTTCTTCTAATTATCGTGACATTCCAGAGATTATCCAGTGACCCGATTCAACCAATTCTCTAGCTGTGTGTCTAAAAATCACACCCTGTTTCCTGTTTCTGTAGTTCGTTGTGTGTATATGTGAAGGTCAGACCTGGCGTGATGGGAGTGGGCTCTAACCCTCCAAGCAGATCCAGGAGGTCTCCTCCAACAGTGTTGGGTGTGCTGACAGGAATGGGAGGAGCTGCGCTGCCTAATGCCGGGCTGGGCTGCAGAGGCTGCTCAGAGCCACCCAGCAGGTCCAACAGATCACACACCTGAGAGACACCACAGAGGGGAGGAGATAATCCAGCTGACTGCACATTATTATTATATGCAAAAGACAGCTTAACAGAATAAACTTTATCTAAAAACAGCTCTGGAAAAATGTCCAAAATACTACGATAAACATGAAACTGGCTGAATGAATAAGACCCACCCATTTTGTTTCAATCCTTATTCTTAACACCCGACCACAGCTGTTAAACTTAGCTTTACTGGAATTTGATTTGCATAATAAAACAGACAAGAGAAAAGCCCGCAAACATACCAATATAGCAAAGGATCTGAGAACACAACCACTAATGTTCATAAAGCGTTGTGGAGTTAATGTGAAACCAATATTTTTAAGCCCATTACAGAATGACAAGCTAAAATGAAGTAAAGCCTACCCTATCACATGTGCAATTTTATGTTAGCTTATTGCTTTGGTCAAGTATTAACTTAAGTTTGAGATCTAAACTAAAACAATAAATTCTCCAGAGGGGCGATCTCTTTAAAAAGGAGGTCAGACCCAGACACTGGGATTGATCTATTCAACAGGCTAAAGTGTGACCCTAACTGAATTTTTCCCATCACCTTGTACCTGGTTAGCAGGCTGCTGTGGCTCTCCTGGCTTGACTTTGACTGTTTGACTCTCCTTGATGGTCTCCCCGTTGGTGTGACCCTGTGAATTCTTTTCAATCACAGGCATCCTCTCAAGCACTGCTGCCCTGTGAAAAGAAGGACTATTTCAGCACTTTTGGTCAGAAAAAAACATTTTCATTCAGTAAATTCCTCAGTGGTTATAATGACAATATATAAAAGGCCTAAAACAGCTCCACATCTCATTTTCTAGAAAATGTTGACCTAACCACTCCCTTCAGTACCTCATGTGGTCATATTTTTTGAAAAGAGCGTTGTATTCAACTGCCCTCTGCTGGAGCTCCACGTCTATACAGCTGCCGTAGATGCTGACGATGCTTCTGATTCGACTGTCGGGAGTAGAGTTATGAAGAGAAAGAGGCGCAGTTAGGGGATTCACAGGGTCACAGTCACTGTTTGCTGCTACACAAGAGTTTCTTACTCCACATTCTCAGTGATGCGCGTGCTGAGTTTCATTGTAGCGGTCAGAGCAAAGCCCCTTGTTGACGGGGACGACATGTGGGACTGTAGCACTGTTTCCAAGACGTCCAGGACATAGTCCTCTGTGACCTGAACAACAGACATGTAAGTGCAAGGTTTGACAGCTGGCAGCACATTTTTGAATCTAAAAAAGAAACACAGTGCTCGTAATTTCAGCTGAATTTATTTATTTAGCAAACAGAAGATTATCAGAAGACACAGTCAGTAACTAAGTAATGTTGTACTAACACTTTTTTCAGTCTTTTTAGATCAGCGATGTTACACTTGCTACTGAAAAAGTTGTGGTCACTTGTTTTATTGCTATACAATAGAGAAGTGTTACAAAACAGATCATCAGAGAGACACAAGTCGGCATATGTGTCTCCGTACTGGCTGACTGACTCAAGCATTAGCCAGAGTCAAATGTCACCTGATAGGTTGACCTCTGTAACCACTTTACTGATGAGTTTATGAGGGAAATCACTTATTTTGGACAAAATGAATGAAATATGAAGCCCATTTTGTAAATTTTGTTGATTCAAAGTATCCTTTGAGTAAAAAAATGGTTGTGCTCATTGGCTAATAATGTGCAATTGACACAAAGTTGTCCAGTGAGCGTGAGACTTTTCAGTCAGATCCATCCTTTACTCGTCACGTCTGGTCTTAAAGCACTGAAAACGCCGATCTTCAGGATTTAAATTGAAAATTCACAAGCCACTTGATGTCACTGTGGCTACGTCCATGCAACAATGCACAACAATGCAGTTTTACAGTGAAAAGTGCTTCATTAAAAAAATCAATGGACTTTTTTTCTGCATGTTGGAATGTGTGTAATTATAGGTTTATGAAGCATTTGATCAAGGAGATCTATTTTGAAGACAATCCAATGACACGAACTACTAAAATATTCAGGGGATGAATATTTAACGAGATTTGAACAAAAAAAAAAAATGGCTCCTGTCATTACCACCGTCGCTAATTTTCAGAAGAATTTCAAATTTGAATTTCTGCTAATGCTGCTCCTTCCTTCTTCCCTGCTCGTGCCGACTATCTATTTATTCCCAGCTCAGAGCTGTAGCTGTGACTGCAAATTACACTGTTATCTTTGTGCCGGAGAATTTTTACATGGAAAAACCTAAAAGATAACGTGTATTTAAAATGACATCATCTGACAAAAAATTTGGATTGCTAATTTATTGCAGCAGTGAGCAGCAGAGAGCAACAAGCATGAATTAAATAAAAACCTAAACCAGTGTTTGCTGTGCTCTGTGTACCTGCACAGGTTCGGTCTCCTGACATTCTCCTGTCAGCAGCAGGTCTCCATACTCTCCGATACACCAGCACGCCACCTGGACCAGAGGTTGCTGCACATACAAATATTACATAAATATTACAGAGCACATAAAATATGTGATGTTGCCAGACTGGCCTGCATTGCGGTTTGAAATATCATAGCCATTTTCCCCAGATGCTGGAAAAATAGGAAACAGTGCTGGGCTGCAGATACGCAAATACTCATCCAGCTTGGATCTGAAAATAAAGCCGTCTGCATCAGCCAATTTCAAACTGAAAGCAAAGCAGTAAAGCCAAAGCAGCTCCGTCTGACTCAGGACTATTACAGCCCTTTCTCTTAAGAGGGAAATTTATCAAAAAATTCTAATTAACTTTAAACTCTATGAACACACAAAATTATGACCATCTCTCATCAGTGAGGCTGAGACCCACTTTCACTGACTCAAGTCTGATCATTATCCTCATGTTTAACGACACCACATCTGCAGTCAGAGCTGCTTTTTTTTCACGAGTTTATTGTTTGATACGCTCAGAACGTAACGATTTTATATTATATATCAAACAGGAGACCAATTTCCGTGTTTGAATTCTCAGAATTCTGAAATGATCTTCTGAGAACAGAAACCATCCAGACTCACAGACCTGCGAGATGTCACTGAGCAGAGCCCGGTAGAGCTTGTGAACGGTGTAACAGTGGAGCTCTGAAGTGTTGGTAATGAGCTGAATCAGGTTGGGCACCGTTTCGTCTCTCACGTCGCCCCCTGCCTGGCAGAATGGGTATCAAACACAAAACACCATACTAGAAAATAAACAAAACAGCTAATTTGGGGGTAACCTACATTATTCCTTCAGACACAACAACCTCCCTTATGGGGAGATTTTCATAGCAATAAATACACATTATGAACCTTTAATTCTTCCTAGTTATGCTCTTCCAAGCACTTTTTCTATCCTGCATCATTTTGTCTGCACTTAACTATTCTCTTAGATAGGTGTAACATTTAAAGCTTTGTTATCTAAAAGCTTAAGAGATGAGGTACACACAATCTAGAAGTCTAATGTATTAAAAACATATTTTAACAAAATCATAATGCATTCACAAAGAGTTATGAAAGAGGACCCTGTAAAAGAGGCAGCATTTACCGTGGTGAGGACATGCAGGATGGTGTCAATGTGCCAGCGCTGGGAAGGAGCATACCTGACAGAGACAGAGACACACACAGCTAACTCAGTGGTACACGCACACACACACACACACACACACACACACACACACGCTACTGCATCTAGCACACATCGAAAAAGAGAAGTGCCTCAAGTTGTTGAATGATACACAGTAGAAACGCTGCAGGCTATTCACAGTCGCGGTGCCACTTAGACAGGAATATCAGTGTGTGTGGAGACGGACACTGAGAGAGAGATGGGTGCATACAGCGTAGACACAGGCAATTTTCTTGTTACAGCTTCAAGGCTTACACAGCTGCATCACCGCATTTAGTCATACGCATGGATATACAGTGTATGTGCTCGCATGCATGCAGTGGTGATCAAAAGCCTGTGAATCCATCAGATTTTTTTTATAACTCTGGCTAAATGTGACATAAAAAATCATCAGGTTTTTAAAAGAAAGATGAAGAAAACGCATGACACGGGTAAGAAATGATCATATCTGGTTATGAACTTATTGAGATGAAATGAAGGTGAATAAGAAGCTTTCATTTAGTGGGAGTACAGTGACTTGTGAGTGGGCGTTCTGTTTATATTTAAAGATTGGAGATCCCTCACACTCTGATGTTCACACTCAAAGCACAAACAAAGGACTCTGGGATGACTTCTAACTCCACCAATCAACAGACAGACAAACAGAGGAAATTAAAAATCAGTGCTCGCTCAAAATGAGGCCTGTAATAGTCAGGACGCAAGGCAGCAAGGACAAAAAGTCTCTGCTGCACATCTGCAGTGTACTACAGATCACACAGACAAATGAGAAGGCTGCAGGTATGCTATGGTGGTGGTAGCATCATGGTTTGGGCTTGTCTTGGTAGGACTAGCCTTTAATTGTGGGTGGTTTGCAAAGAAAAACTGTCAGAACTTTTGTTTGTAAAATGCTATTAGGTCATGCAGCAGCACAATAACCCTCAGCACACAAGTAGTTCAACCATAGAATGGTTAAATAATATTGTTAATGTTTTTTAAACAGCCAAGTCAAAGTCCTGAACACAATCGAAAAGAAAAGCTGGAGCTGAAGTGACCAGTTCATAAGTAAACCATCAACAATCCAGAGTTGTAGCCGTTTTGTATAAAGGAAGCAGCTAAAACGGACATTTAATAACAATTTTTCTGACCCCAGAGTGACCAGATATTATATTGTTGTCTCATTTGAAATATACAAACTTCTAAAGGGTTCACAAACCTTGAAGCAGCGCTGCAGATACACTTTGTGTATGAAGTATATTACGCTGTCTTCTCTGCAGCATTTCACCTACCTTTCAGCAGCATTGAATATACCGCTGGCAGTTTGAGACCTGAGCTCGGGGGGGCAGGAGGAGAGGAAGCTGAGCAGTTCCTTCATCATAGAGCGGATGTTGGAGGCTGACACCAGAGCCAAAGAAAGCTCCAAAGCACGGCTGGATGGATCGGAAAAGAGAAACAACGCTGATAATGCTGGATATACAAGCTGATCCTTCTGTGCTGTTACAGCTCAGGTCAAAACATTCTGAGCTGATAAGATGTTTGCTTGCTCAAACTCTCCGTGTCCATCAACATTTACAAGTTTGCTGAAAATCCCTTTAGCAACACTCTGATCTGTCTGTAACACAACTCACTGGTTGGATCAAAATACATGGAGGAACTCTTCAACTAGAAAACATATCACCAAGGAGAAATAGTCCCAGAGCAGCATTACAGTTTTGAGTATACAGACTGGATGTGCAAACTTTTCTGATATTAGTCAGCAAAACATGCTTTTTTTAACTACTATATACTAGTTTGCAATATATTAATATTAATTGCATATTAACATATATATATTAATTATTTTGTTTTTCTTACAGCACAATAAAATCTGCTTGACTACATGATGAAACTAGAGATGGTAGTTAGCATCAAGCTTTAGTGTGAGGTTCAGACTGTTAGTGAGTAGCACAGTGGGAAGCTACACCTGCCAAAAATACAGAATGTTAATGTTGCCAGGTCAGTGGCACTGTTACGTCGTTTTATTGTTATTTCATCTATAAAAATCAATCACTACTTAATGTGAGCCAATTAAAAAGTATCAAAAACATAACAGGAAATCAAATACTTCTAGAATCATTTTAACAGAACATCTACAGATGTTGAACAGCTGTGCTAGGCAAAAAGAAAAAAAGAAAATCACCGCTTAACAGAAGCATCCTGGTCTTTCAGGCAGTCTACTATAGTCCCTCGGTGGCGCTGCACTGCATTGTGGTCTGTCCCAACAATCTTCTGAAGAGAGGTCATGGCGATATAGCTAAACAGACATACACGAAAGCCAAAAATAATGAATGTTTTGAAAGTTTTAAGTATCATTCTCTATTATAATGAAGCAGAATTCGCTACACCAAGGTCATCTAAAGTGACTGTGTGTGGAAACGCATCCAGTGGATAAATTATTAAAATGTGATTTCAAAAAATGTTCAACCTGACAATAAAGATCAACAACAAAAGAAAATCTTAATTTTCTCAGCTTGCAAGCATGAATAATTCATCACTTCACTTCAAATAACTCATGGACTGATCAAGTATTTATGTGGACGCAGGAGAGACGCTACCTAGTCAGGCAGGTCTTGCAGGAATAAACCTGTCACTCTGCAACAGAGAGATTCAGAGGACCCGAGGGTAGAAACTAGACAGACCTGTCTGCCCACAGGGCCCTTATGGGGACGAACCCAGAAAAAGATTGTAACACAATAAAACCCTCAGGAAACCGCAGCAGCGCCTGCTGGAAAATAACATGGTCTGAAATTGAGAGCTCAGCATGAGCAGTGAGCAGCGTGACCTTCTGGTGTGGCTGTAGAGTAATGGCTCTAGAGAAAGTAATTAGTCAGCTCAGACGATAAGAGCCTGTTGGGAGATTTCGCTCTTTGGCTGTAGTGAGTTTTCCGTTAGCCTGAAAAGGTGAAATCACCCTGAGAGATAAGAAAGGGAGAAGGAATGCATACAGGGGAGGATTAGACAGGGAAGAGGAACAAAGATCTGAGGAAAATAGAACTAACCGAATGTTTCTGTCATTGTTCAGAAGAAATCTTCCCAGAATGTTCACGGCCAGAACCTGCAGCATGAGTAAAGGGAAGTGTATGTCTATGAATTAATAATTTGATCAGTCAGCAATATTTTCAATGTATTCACATCACTAACACAGTCTCTTACTCTGAGGCCACTCTCTGACTTGATGTCCAGCACAGTGAGAACAGTCTCATACAACACAGCATTGCCCACAGTCTTTGTACTGTCTGTGTTGGTCGCCACCTGTATGGTAAACACAAACAGGCAGACACACAGCTAGTACAGTGCCAATTAGATAAGAGTATAGTTAAAAACTAGGGTATTTTTAACTACAATTATCAGATAAACAAAGACGACAGCTACATATCTGAAAACGTGTCTGCACTGGTAGCTCTTTAACTCTTCACCCTGTGAAGCTGAACTGAGCAGTTTCTGTCAAGTTTCCGACCGACTTATAGAACAAAATGACTGAGTTTGCATCAGACGTTAGTGAGGGTGGTCTCTGCCTACGCAGCTACCTTTGAAAAAACACTAGAAACTACTCTAATGCTTATCAAACCACGTCTTTACTGATATATACGGGGTACCAAATTCATTAATAAAGGTAGAGGAGGCGTCAACGGGCGCTGTCTTTATGGAGGAAAGAGTTTCAAACAAACTGCTCTGCAGAAAGGCCAGATTTTGGGTTGCAGCTTTTCTCAAGAATTAGTCACACATGCAACATGAGTGAGTGACTAATGCCATTTGCCACAGGAAACCATAGATATTAATAAATAAGATAGTTACACATGCTTCAACTCCATCTCTATGAGAAACAGTTTCAGTTTTGAGAAGAACTTTCTGGCTGGCTCTCATGTATCATAAAAATGCATTTCAGGTAAACTTTCAGGGTCATGTAAACAACAGGAGACGGGTGACTGGTCAAATGAAATGTTTGCTCATTCTGAAATGGCTGACATGTGGAAACTTTTTCAGATCTGACTGATGTGAACTGAGCCAAAGAAAAGCTTTTTTTGGTGAACGTGAACACTATACCTGAGCTAGGAGGTCGTTCATGGCATCGCTCGCTGCTTCATTGTTGCGACCAAGGATTCTCAGCAACCTTAAGATGCGTACCTGTGTTTGGAGACGCGACAGAAGGAACACGTGGATGGGAGGTGATTTTGGGAGGTGACAATAATCTAGTGTTTGTATTAGTAACACAGAATTAAACTACATTAATTGAAGATTTCGAGCCATGAAGCAGCACACAGTAGTAAAAATAAGTCCCGCTAGCCGACTCTGACTTTACACAAAGTGTAGCTGGGATGTGCAAGGGGTTAGTGGAATGAAATCCGACCTGTAGGAAGGGATCGCTGATTCCTGCCACATCGTGGTCTGGAGAATAACCCGAAATGACGAGACCTTTCATGATCTGAACCAGATCTGGTACCGTCTGGAATACACACAGCACAACCACATTGCGACACACATGTAGGAATACAGACAACATCTGATCAAGAGTAATCTGTGTGTGTGTGTGTCCCTCATACCTTCCTGAAGCGCTCAAGTGTTTCCGAGTTCCGCTCACACAGCTCAGTAATGAGCACCACAGCGCCGTGTACGACGCCTGAAGACAAATGAAAACCAAAAACAATAAGAAATAAACTGAAAATAGTATTCACAGCATGACGAGTTCACTGTGTACATCATAAAAGTATATTAACCGTGGTTCTTCTCAGTGAGCAGCGAGCGAGCGGCTTTGGTAAAGAGCTCTCCCAGATCGTGGACTTTTCTCACGATGTGAACAGCGCACAAAGCAGCCTGAAAGAACAGCGGAACAAGTCATCAGCAGCGTTACATCACACGTCCACTAAGCACATGACGGTGGGATGTTACAAGTTTTACAGCTCATGAAGGATTTGAAGTCCTATAGGGAACAGTACGCATCCTAAAAAGTTGTACTACGTCACACTAGATGATTATGATGAATATTTAACAATCAAACTGCACAAATGGATCCTACATACATAATACATTATCCCTGACATTAACATGCTTAGGTCAGTGTTTTGAGTATAACATACAGCTTGCCAAATCACACACAACACAATACAGATTTGCTTTTAAACTGCCACCTCACTGGTAGTAATATTAATATTGGTAAAAGCTGCTGGATGAATAATTGATTCCTCGCAGAAGTCCTCACCTTCTTTTTAATGTAGGAGTTGGAAGCTCGGAGCAGCCTGTCAATCTCTGGCGCCAGATCCCTGCACATCTCAGCTGACCCCATGCAGGCTAGTGTGCAGAGAGCTAGAGACTGTATGTACTGGTTACTGTTTGACAGATCACTGAAAAACACAAAAAGATAAAAATATTCAGTGTTTTATTTAAATCATCATTATTTCAGTAAACCTTCCAAGATGTACAATTACACATTAAGGAATCTGTCATTAACTGCACCACCTTATATGAATGACAACAGCATCGAGATTGGGTTATTCTTACTTCTTAATAGAGTTGGTGATGAGCAGGCTGGCGTCCTGCTTCTCATCCAGCAGCATCATGGCTCCCAGGTATCCTACGCGTTTTTCACTGTAGCGCGGGCTAGCAATCATCCTAACGCACTCCATCTAGTATGAACAGCAAAAGCTCTTTTAAAAGTGAAAGTGAAGTAATGCCCCCGGGAAAGTTCCCTACCATTTAACCACTCAACTGGAGGTCAGTCTCAGCTCCAGAGCAGCAGGGAGGGCCTCAGTGGCCCAGTTCCAGTGTCCACCCTCGTAGACACGAGGGCTTTCGCAGACTTTGCTTGAGGGCATTAACAACAATTCACAGTGCTCTAGTAACGGTAAAAGTACAAGCTTAACAAAGCACATACCAGCAACATCGCTAGCAATACAAGGGAGCATTTCCGTGCCTAACTTCACTGTGTGCTCATTCCTTGTAAGATGCACGTGCTGGACATTACGACTTCACGGCTGATATGGTGTGACGAAGTGAGCCCAGACCCTCCAGCTACTGTGACGGCTTCTCACCTCCCCTGGCTCATTTAACCCGAAGAAACCCCATGACAGGCATTAGCCAAATCCCCTCACCTGACCAAAGTGAGCCGGGTAGCCCAGCATGTGCACGTAGAGCAGTTTGGCCAGGTTGTGCGATCGCCCTCCGTTGTCGGCTTGTCTGAACTGTGCCCGGATGGCCGCGCACTCCCTCTGAATGACCCCCCGCTCCTCACACTGCGTCCTGGCTGACCTGATGGCCCGGATCATCTCCTGCAGGGGCACTGATGGAGACATGGCTGTGTGTGTGTGTGTGTGTGTGTGTGTGTGTGTGTGTGTGTGTGTGTGTGTGTGTGTGTGTGTGTGTGTGTGTGTGTGTGTGTGGGTAGGTGGGTGGGGGTGAATGGTGGGATGTGTTAGTATGCGTTGTTTTGTGAAGGAAAGAGCATGACATGTTATTAACAGAAAACAAGAGTGTCACAACACTACATATGATTTCATTTCCTGTAACAACATCTCCAGGCGTTTATTAAAGCCGTCACTACACCGCAGGACGTAGTAAAAAACACTCAGGTGGGCTAATTCAAAAACAACTTAAACAACAGCTAGTGTTTTCCTTTCTTTTTTTCTTTGGTGACAGGCTGATGGAGCACAAATAAACAGAAAGTTACTGTCATCTACCAATACTTTTATGAATTACACTTGGGGAAATATACTTAAATGAACAGGCTAACTAACAAAATTAGCATGACTCTTCCGTGGTCGGTAATGCATGTCAGAGAAACGAGCCAGAGGCTAGCGCACTGACCGATCCGAGCTAACCTTGCAGATGCTGTCAAGCCTGGCATGGAGGAAAGAGTCGAGCTACTGAGCTAGCCACGTTAGCATAACAGTCTGCTTGTGTGTGTGTTTTAAAGCGCCAAAATAACAACATACCTCTACAGTTCACAGAGTTGCCAGGTTTTGAAAAGTAAAGCCGTTCAACCGACGCCCCTCCAATACACGTCGGCAGTCAGTTGGTTGGAAACCCAATTACTGTATCCATACAGTTAGCGTGAAAATAGCAGGAGTTAACATTGTATTTCCTGCCACAACTTTCAAATTAAAGGTCAATTTGATAGTTATAACAAAAACAGTGAAACAAAATTAAATAGCACTTGAAACACAGTTAAATAAATACATATTTAACAATCCTATCAGTAATGAAGTGAGAAGAATTTCTTAAAGCTATTGTATATTTGAACTTTTAATCAATTAAAAAAAATATAAAACTATTTTCTAGCACAAACTCACACGCACACGTGACATACAATAGAGATTTTACCTCTATATATCTCTGTTTATCACTATATAAATCTCCATAAAAGTATAAATCACCTCGAGAACATATGCAGTCTCATCATCAACCATCAATTCTATTTAAAAGGGTTTTGTTTTTCACCGTTTTGTTTTTTGGGGTTGTTTTTTGTTTTTGTTTTGTTTTGTTTTTTGTTTTTTTAAAGAAAGTCCCAAAATTCGCAATGTTACAAACGACACACAGGATCCGGTTACAACATGCAAACTTTAGCAAACAGCCAGTTTATAACACAAATGTCAGACTGCCAAATACACCAAGTACGCCACTGACTTACATGCAGGCACAGGTCACCAAAAAGCTGTAGACTGGATCTAGGTCTGGATAAAAGACAGCCAAGCTGAAAATTACACGCGAATAATAACATATGTCAGCTTCTGGCTCATCAAAAAAAATCAAACAAAAACAAACAAACAAACAAACAAACAAACAAACAAACAAAAGGCATGCAGTATTTGAATGGGGCATGGGATCAAGCTTTTATTGTGAAGGCAGAAGTACTTTTCCTCTTTAGCTTCGATGATGTGACATTTGACCCACCTCAGCTTACCGTACCTGTCCACTACTTCCGCAATTTGATCAGTCATTGTGGGTGGACTCCACCTAGTCTACGTCAGGCGTTTCAACAGGTGGATGAAACATTGATGAGAATGTGCAGCAGGCAGAGCAATACAAATGGCGTGCAGCGTGTGCTATAAAGACTTAACCGAGACTTTATGAAGACATCAGCACATCCCATTCTCAAGCACCATCAAAATGTGATAATTATTCAAGTTTTATTAACATACCTCAAATTTACAAGATGAAAAAAAAGGAAAATCGTCTATAATGTGGCAGAAAATATATACATGTAATAAAATAATTATAAAGTGCAAAGACTTGTTTTTGTTACTATAGTGGGGTGATAGTGCCAGCACATAATGCTATAAACAATACATTGTTTCACACACCCTCACAGGGACACAAGGGAGAAGTTTAAAAATGTTAAGGTAAAAAAAAAATGGCACTGAATATGCATAAAGATGATATTGCGCCATTCAGTGTAGCAAAAGAGCTCTGGACTAAGCCTTTTGACGCCAGCAGTGCAGAACACTATGAGGTGTTTCCTCTTTCTAGGAATTATCTTCCAGGAATGATTTCTTCACACCAATGTGTTTACAGTCGTGTCAAAAAGTTAGGACACAATTTGTGTTTGTGACTCTTTTTATGTGTTTCTACAGTCTAGTGATGAATAACCACAAGGATTTCATTGGCAAATAAAGAAAAACTTAGGGGAACAAAGTTGATTAAAAACACATTTCATCAGGTGTTAATTCTTTTGTAGCCCCAGGTTCTCCTTCATTAGCGGGTATGCCACCACGTTTTTACAACAGATTAGTCATTTTCCTGGAACAAATTGTGAGGAAAAACCAGACCAGTATTAATATAATAACATTTGTTGTCACCTCTTGACCCCTGTATTTAATACTCTACCACACAAGCCTTACATGTTGTTTGTGCTTTCAGGCATCTCAGAGGTGAAATGCCAAACATGAAAAGATTCACTGTAAGAATCAGTTTATTCAGTCAGTTTATCGGTTCATTTTAGAGGAAATGCAACCATCTGAGTGTGTGGTGATGGGAAAAGGTTGTGGTGAGCACACAGGCCAAAAGCAATAAATAAAGGCAGCAGGCGTGGTAGACGGGCTTCTGTTGCACTGGCAAAACACAGCCTGAAAGCAGAACCAAAGACATAACATCCTGGGAACAGGAGCAGATGGTGTTTGCTTAACATGTGGACTTACCACTGGAGGAACAGTTCAGAAAATGGAGTACAACAAGACCAAGTAAAGAAAGTAATCACAGAGCACCACAGGCCATTATACCAGAGTAAGACGTTCTTGTAAACAAATATAATCAGACATTTCAGGTCTTTTCCATTTGACTCAAAAAATAAAGCTTAGCTTCTTATTTGCACCCTGGTTTTTTGTGCAGAATCCACAGATATTGATCCAAAATCATCATGGAAAAATATGAATTAAAGCACAGCAATTCCAGCTATAATGAAACAGGCAGGAAACGGAGGGGGACAAACTGACTGCGACACTGTGAAGGCAGAGACGCTGACCCCTACGTAGGTGGAGAAATCCACAGAGATTGGCAATACTCACAGTAATTTTCTTCCAAGTGTCTCAAAGAAAGATTAGAAGCATTGTTATTATATACTCAGATATCACCAAACTACTAATTACATCATGCTTTTTGAACCACACACGAAACCAGACCACCACTGCCATGACATCCCAGGCCAGTAGAGGGCAGCAGACAAACACAACCTTGCTGCTACTATTTTATTATCGAATTTGTTTACAACTCATTTTTTGTAATAGACATCTGATCATCAGTTTGACATTTAGTTTTTCATTTAAATTTTTTAAAATAAAAAACTATATATGAATATATGCCACAATAGCCTATGAAAGTTTCATATTTTACAGACTCCCACATAAACACTTCACTGATGTCAGATATAATTAATACGTTCCTGTTAACCATCAAAGCCTTAACATTCTCATAAATAGTCAGTATTAATCAAAGCCAGTTCACAATAACTCTGGACAAAAAGAGACAAATTAGTCTTTCATCCCACACAAAGCATTAAGGGGCATTAACATGAATGAGTTGGTTTGTTGGATTGGCCAGTGCGTGGATGTGGATTAGAAGTGGGATGAAGAGCTATGAGGGACTGTAATCCCTCTTTCATGCTTGCTAGGATAATAAATCTTGTGAGAAACAAGGGGACTAAATAACGGCGGTGCCTTCAAAAACAGCATTTCTCTATTTTAGCATCAGGCGTTTACAAAAATAATTTACAAACTGACGGTCTGAGAATGGCTTATAAAATGTTTTATTACCAGTAAAACAGTCAGTTGGTAACTCCACTGGTAATGCCACTGGCACCGATCCTACCTCAGCTTTAAAAGGCTGTAAGACAAAAATATAAAAAACAAAAAGCAGCCACAGCCTTGTGAGGAACACGAACATAAATGAACTAAACAAACTGTCGGCAGAGATGCTGCAACTAGACAATGAAAGCACAGCAAATACTACCAAAGCACATTTGGATAACACCCATGATCATGATGAGGCCAAAAGCTGCAGTGAAGACATCTTGGCTACACTGTGAAGCGATTCACGCATGTAAGCACCAAGGACAGGGACACACTGCGCCAAGTTAGAGGCCATTTGTTTGGTCTTCGGGCAGCACAGAGAAAGAGACACTTTATTATCGCATCTTAAGACAAATGAAAGCAGACTTTTTGTAAAAAGGAAAAAAAAATTTTTTTAAATTGAGCTGTAAATGAATGTGAGTGCGTTCTTAATTATAATCGTGCACGATGGCTGTGCAGGACATCGTTTTGTGTTTAATATTAAATATGTTCTGCCTTGAGCCTTTTTCATGTTAATTATGATTTCATGATTTGATTCAATAATTCAACTTATCGGCACAGCACCTGTGTGCTGCTCTGGGATTCTCACTAACGCTCAGCGCTGTGGCCTTTATAGCCTCACGGTGGAAGTTTGGGGGACGTGCCCACCGTGTTACACGGCAGGATGTCAAACCGATGAGGATGTCATTGAAACGGCTGGGGACAAGAAGGCTGTTTGAATTCTGTTATTTGTTTGGTAACTCACACTTCCAATTATTAATTAACAACTCTTTTTATTGTCCTAACTATAACTCTACAGGCCACTGAGTGCGACACAAAAGCGATGCACTCATTTTTGTTTCTCGATTTAAACAAATGGCAATAATAATTTAAAAAAAACATGGACACAGAAAATGTCTGCATTTATTACACATTCAAATCATTTCTTGGGTGAACTTCTCTCTTTCTCCTTTCATAGAGGAAAAGAATAAGGAAGCACTGAGGCACATTTCCTGAGTATTCAGAGAAATCAGCCAGCTCTTATTGTAGCTGCCAAGCAGATACTTCTAAGTCACTTTTCTCAGTTTACAATCATCCTGATTCTTGTCCCTGCTCTCAAAGAGCCAATCAGCAGTCAAATCGGAAACATGCACCATGTGTTGGAAGTAGGGATGGGTATCGTTTAGGTTTTATCCGATACCGGTGCCAAATCGGTACTTTTGAAACGGTGCCGGTGCTTAAACGGTGCTCGAACCGAAATTGGTCCAAAAACCTCTCATGTTCAGCTGGGTTTTTTTGTAAAAAGACAACAATGTTAGCCTTTTCTGCAGCTATGGGGCATATATGGTATCACTCTTGGCTGGAAGCAGTGCTTAAACAATGGAAAAAACACAAACTTTGTCCAAAAACCTCTCATGTTCAGCTGTTTTCCACTTTTTCTTTGGTCATTTTAGCCTTTTTGTCCAGGGTGAAGGGAGTATCTGCCATCAAACAAGAAGACAGCCGCATGTAGCTATGATGATGTTTGCTAGTTCACCTTACATGCATTAATGTAATAACGTGGTTAGCCTACTCAACGTAAATTACACTCGAACAACATGAAGCTACTCACGCAGAGAAGAACGGCTGCTGCTGCATCATCATCCTCATCATTTCTGCTACACTGGCAGGGCTAGGGGCCAGGACTCTATTCTTCGGGTTTTTGGGGGATGTTGCTCCGGGTCCGATAACTGGCAACCCACCCGACGTGCACAGTGTGAGGTCTCGCAGCAAGCTATCAAATACGGCGCATTTCTGGGCTTTTAAAAAAAAACGCTATGCGTCGCCAGCTGTTTAATCGGATTCTTGGTGTTACCTCCTTTGACAGTATCACAGTATCAGCTTAAAGCACTTGTTGCTGCTGAGTTTGCATATTTTGCTGTGAAGTACAGCTAGACTTTTGACCGCTTCGCCTTGGACATTTTTAATCTGTAGCTCTGCTCTAACAGAACGTACGTACCTGGCCCCGCCTACTATCCTCGGAAACGTAAAATGATTGGCTAGAAGTGTATCACAGCTCAGGAAAAAAAAGCACCGAAATAAAGCACCGAAATGTGCGCTGCTTTTCGGTCTGGTTACTACCGTTTATGTCAGAACCGACACCGGTACCCATCCCTAGTTGGAAGTGTATAAACTGTGGGAGGAAAACAATTCTTAAAACTTATTTTGGGGGGAAAGTCGCTGAAACTTTTTACCCCATTGTTGACTGGATTTAACTTTCTCTCTATGTTCTTTTATATGGTGGACTCATAATAACATAATAACTCATAATAATAACGTGGAAATGACTTGATCTTAAAGCCAAGTCTAGTATGGATGCATGCGAACTGTTTGGGTCTTGTGAGTAAATTATGGGTATTTTTGCACATGCATGCAGCTTGCTTTTTTCCCCCTCCATAGACGACAATAAACAAAGGGGGGATAAAGCAGGTGGTTTAACTTAAATGATAGTTGCAAAAAAGTTGCAAACAGCATTTTTAGAATCTGCTTATCTGACGTTCAATGTGCCTTCGCTGAGAGTCATCCACTGACCCTGACACCCCCCCCCGGTGAAAGGCAGCTCTTTCGTTCACTGATGGTTTAGAACAATGAGCAGAAGACAGCTCTTGAGAAAATAAGCTTATAATCACCAAGCCTGAAATTACCCATTGTGGATGGTATTACCATGCTGCCCCCATTATCTGCATCTGTTAATTCACTGATGCAGCGCAATAATCTTCAATTGTGTTTAAGGACTCACACAGGGAGACGGCAGCCAGCAGGCGGAGGCCAGTGCCAGGGGGAAGGCAGCAGTGGAAGAGAAGCTCCAGGATGTAATCGGAGAGAGTGAGAGCCATCATAATATGAGTGGTAGGGCAGCTAACCAACACTGAAATCCACAGACGCAAGGTGTGCAGTAAATGTAAAACGGGGGGAAATTTTCTTCTTTTTTTTACAATAGCCTATTAGCTAAAAGCACAGCAGTAATGTTATGCACTACAGTGCACCTAAGATTGCTTTTGATTGATTATTCCTTCTATATCTATTATTATTTAATGGAGCATTTTGTTTTAATCTTTCTGTTACTGTGCAAAATAAACTGTTTAGGTCATTACGGATGAAAACATCCATCCACTTTGAGGGTATATTATAACACGCTAATTAAATTAGACTGGGACATCAACTTCAGACAAAATATGATTGGTGTGCCATCTAGTTATTTCTATTTGACGGTATAACTGTTCTGGGTCCACTTCCATGCAAACACGTGGAAGGCTCCACATGGACAGAGGAGCCCAAAGAACAAGACCATGATCTGACCAGAGGTGGGGTCCAGGTGGGTTGTAAAGTGACTTGCAGAGGCCACAGCAACTTTATAGGCTGAAGTGACTTAAATAGCTCACACCTTACCAGATTTACCAAACGGATAGGCGAAACAGATCGGCTGATTTGCCAGGATTGCAGCTGATCTCGCCTCCTTCGCCTGCCAAACTAATTTGTTCAAGCCAATTTCTGCAGAGAATTTGTGGGATTTGGGATCCTTTAAAAGATTGTAACATTTGCACATCATGTTATTTAATCTTAATCTTCCAAATTGGTTTTAATCTTAGCCTGATATCAATCCAAAGTACCCCGGTTGGTGAAAACAATACACTTGTTCTCACCCAACTCATTACACCATTAATGACCCAGTGAGCCTGCATTCTACAGTACCTGCTTTAGGACTCACAAAATCTGATAATGTTTCCTAAGTGAGCAAAAGACAAACAGAACATTTAAGAATTGATACTTTGAAGATAAAAATGACAAGTTTTCCATTTCAATTAACATAAAAATGTGATTCTAAAATTAAAAATAACAAAACAGATTCAGCATCTTCTATGAAACAGCATCACTCTGTTGACATACTGCATTTATGCTTGTATTCTTTCTTGACTTCACGTTGAAGACTTCATTTAGAAAACTGGAGCCAAAAAATGAAAAGAGGACATAAAATGAGGAGGCAACAGTGCTTTCGCTAATTTGTGCTCCTTGGAATTGATCTAAAAGCTGGCACAGGGTCTCTGCAGGTGCACCAACTGTGTTATTTGTTTTTTCAAGTCTAAGCAGATTTTCTGGGGGAAAAAAAGCAGTTAATTTTCTTTAGTGGCTTGAGTTTACAATAGTCAGGCCATGTGTGCTCACTGTGTGTCCCCATGCCCTTACTATTCAGCACTGGGACATAATATGGATTTCTCATGGACGCTGAGCCTGCACTTGATCTTGTTAAGCACATCTCCCTTACAAGCTCCCTGATGAAAAGCCCACACGAGGGGAAACTGTAGGTTTATTTGAAATAAAGTTTACCTTGTCACGGCGACACTGAAAACTCCAGCTGAGTTATGTTTTACATTTCACTTATAATAACTACTATAGCTGCGCAGGACTGCTGGAGCCCATGGAAATGTTATGAGTAACTATACTTTTCAGACACATAAGGTGTAACACCAGTCTTTAAAATGTTTTTTTAAGTCTGTGCAGCCTGACTCAGCTGTTTTCCCTTCATCATTAAAAGTGTTGGAGGTGAAGTGATTAACTGTTGCAAGTGTATCTCTCCAAACATCTAACAACAACTAGCCTGACCCCAGCACTACAACAGTGAGGACTTGAGAGAATTTCTTCTTAGGGCAAAATGAATTGAAACAGTGCACTTGTACCTTCATTTGTAAAAAGAATCATGGATTGCTTAGGGTCAAGGTCAAGAAAGGGTGACATCTACAGGAAAAATCACCTCCTTGCAGATCAGATCATCATTTAATTTCAACAGATTAAAATACAGGAACGGTGCTTAAACTGCCTTTAAAAAAAAAAAAAAACTATCATTTTAACAATTTAACATGTGACTCAAAAACATTCAAGCTTCAAACAAAAAGGGCACGGTATGTAGAGAACACTACAGTGTGGTCTTTATTGACACGGTTCGAACAAAACAAAGGTATGAACAAACAGCCCCAAATGTCATGGTATGCAACCTGAAAAGCAGTTCAGGTTCTGTTGAGCAGAAGGGTTTAAATATGCAAATATTGTGTATGGAATGTGTGTTTGATAAGGCATAAGTCCAGGATTGAGTGTAAATCGCTGTGTTGAACTGTAGTTCAGAACAATAAGGACAAGTAAAAAAGGATAGCATGACGACGCGGTGTTAACGTTTGACCTAATCTGAATGAGCCAGTCTCACAGCAACAGTACACTTTGGGTTCAGGTGAGAGTGGTGAATGTGGCACGAGATTTAAAAACAAGAAAAGGTTCAAATTTGGTTTATCCGATCTATTCTTCCTAAACTGCAAAGTGCCCACCACCGCGGACTTTCAAGGGCTCGCACAAGTCCAGGTTTTTAACTGTGTAAAGAGTGTCACGACACCCGTTCTTCCACTGCCACAGAGTCTGACAGAAACACAGGAGTCTGCCAACTTGTGCCGACGCGTCTTCTTCACAGGCCGATGGTGTAGGAACGGCCTGCGGGGTTGTGAATGGCAGAGCAGGAGGGCTCCGTCACAGCCCATTCATACCAAACCTTCTTCCCGTTGTTGCAGCGCCAGAATCGCACTGTGACATCATCGTCCTGGGATATGGAGATGGGTTGCTGTTGGCAAGAAGGAGCACGGTGACTTATCTATTCACTCTCATTTTTCAACTTTAGCATTTAACTCGGTACCGACTAAGGAACTTACTTTAAGAGGGAAGAGGATGGGGAACCATGAGAACATTCCGGGTGAGTGCGTTTCTGGTTTTATACCTGCCAACAAAGAAGACTTTAAATGACAGTTCAACCAAAAGGAAAAAGAAAATACTTCTAGTATTCTGGACTGTAGATTGTAGAGACATTACACCTGCCTTTTTTATTCCTTCTTCTTTCTTTTTTTTTTTAAAAACACGATGGAAGTAGCTAGCGATGCTCAAAGCACCTGATTTTTCAGAAATCATGATCGAAACGCTCCAAAACAAAAATGTGAACATTTTCATGGAAGAACTATTTGCTTTCTGCACAACTACACCCACCAACGCATCATTCTGAAACATTAATGAAGCCCTGCTGGGCTGTAATGGTAACAAGCTGCACTCTTGATTCTGTTGCTGGATGTAGACTGACAGAAAACAGGTCCTAACTTCTGCATTCATTTGAAGCAACTAGGTCATGATTTTTTTATATGAACGTGCAAAGACTGAGTGCTAAAAGTAGGGCTGTGCTACATGGAGGGAAAGAAAAATAAATCTTATAATAATTTTTTTTTACCAGTTTTCAGTTGATCGATATATTTCACAATATAAAATGAAGCATTACTTATTAGCTTAAATGTTTCTTTCCATTCCTAACTGAAGATATGAGGTCAATTTTGATTTAAATATAACTTATTTTCTAATTTAATTTCAAGCTCATGTAAAATAAATAACATAGGTATACAGAACAAACAAAAATTTTAATTCTCTAATTTAAATCTGCTTGATGACATCGTGTCTTTTATATGAAGCTGTCTGTTGCATTCATTGACCTCTCTTTCCAACAATGTCCTCGCCTTTTGAGCCTTGGGCTGTGTGTGTTTGGGGGGCATGTTTGGTAATGCTGGCACGTTATCAGTTTTTATTTTCTCTTTCATCTTTCTCACACTGCTAACATACTGGCGTTTATGTCTGCAGTAGCCCAAACATTAACATTTCCAACTGTGTACATCAACCTAACCTGACGCAGCTCTAACTCTCTTCCAGCCACATGATTGGTTTGGCGTAGCACCATTCTGTTTGGTTTTTCATGCCATTTTCAGGCATTTATCAACACATGGCTGGAATAAATCTACTAACTTTACATTACTCTGTTGAGGAAAAGTTATTTTGCTGTGATAATCTTCATGGTTTTACCATCCAGCCCAAATTGCAAGGACGATGACAGATTCTAAAACTGGGGAACTCGTAAAAAAACCTGATGAATAAAAAACAAAATAGGCCAAAGGACAAATGGATCTGCTGACTTACTGAGTGTGACATCTTTGTAGAGAGTGGTCTCAAAGTAGCCAGCAAAGCCATGGAGCACAGAGTTACAACCCACTGTGAATCTGAGGCACTGATACCGGTTATTGTTCATATCTGAAACAGACGGAGGGAGAGGTGGTGAGCACATGCTCTACAAGCTTATTAGAGGGATTTTAAGCGATTCCATCTACCTGTTGAGGGGTGTGTGAAGGTGAAGCAGGGTTTGGGATCAGCCAACTGGTGGAAGTTATGAAGGCGCACAACATAGGGCGTCTCAAAATGGGACTCTGGATCCTTGTCTCGTTCGCGGCACCCTCGTACTTCGTTGTAAAGCTTAGAGGATGACAGAGGAGCCAAGTAGGACGTGTACGAGCAGGGAATGCTCACTCCATCATCTGAAGGTGAGATGATATAAACAAAGGGGAAAATGAAAGTAATTAGAGTCAGGAAGCATTAAAAGGTGACGCTTTCAATATGGCTTGGTGTGGAAAAATGACCTCTGATGACTCTGCAGTGTCTACACGTGTAATTAAGTCTTCATTAAAATCCTGAAATACCTTTGAGAAAATGCTGTGCTCCATCTAAGCACTCTGGGGAGAGTTCATTGTCGCCAAATGATCCGAGCAGCTCGCTGACAATGATGTCAGCTTTCTCTGGTGCGGCCCACTCCCGCATGTCACATGACACCACCGTCACCTGATCCCCCCACTCCTCAAAGCGCCAATTCTCTAGCCTAGAGAACACACATCAATAAAATAAGCGTTGAAAGTTTCAGGCTTCACTTCAATCCCCTCCTGACTCACTATAAATTCAGACAAAATCAAAGGCCAAGCTTTTATCCAATCTATAGACTCATTCAGGTAGCGCAATTGATCTGTTGCATGCGATAATATTTTTGCTTGTACGCTGTGAAACATGGAACATTTGAAAGCATTATTTTACTCACGTCACTACAGCATTGGGATTTTTCTCCACAGCATACACCCTCAGTCTCCTGTCTGCCTGCCTGGCAGCACGCAGGGATGCATTGACCAGAGGACCCCTACCTGCTCCCAACACCATCAACACCCTGTGGAAAAAACACATCATTTTAGACAAGGCTGCTACCCTGGTGGTTACCACTGAAGTTTAAACAGTCAGTGTGTGTTATCCTGCTCTACTTCCAGTGAGACTTATAGGAGTATATTATAGACTGCCATGATATTGAGGTATTAATCAATATCTGGATACAGTTCCTACTCCACAATCCTCATTTGTGACTCTTTATACAATAATTTTAGATATAGATACTTACTGAACATTAGTGTCCTTCTGCTCCTCTGGAACTCTGTCTAGCAAACATTTATATACAGCCTGCACACACAAAGAAAAGACCAAAAACAAAATGGTGTTAAATACATTTTGCCTCAAACTCTTACAGACCATTTAAACCCCTTTATTAACACTAAACACCTAAATGTCAGTGTTTTTCAAATGCTACATGAGTGACAGTCTGATATATGTGGATAAGCTCTACATACACAGACAAATATCTAGGCGTATCTTCACATTCAGGCTGAACAGAGGCCAAAGCAAATGATAATGATTATGGGCAACAGTGTGGTGCGGTGGTGAACACAGTTGCTTCACAGTAAGAATGTTCTGGGTCCAAGTCCACTGGCTGGATCAGGGCTTTCCAAGAAAATGGACAGATGGATAATAATTACAAGCTCATAGGTAAAAAGCAACTGACCAATATTGAAAACTGATACCATCCACTAAGGAAACATGAGCCAGGAACTGAATTTTCAAAATAAGCGCAAAGGGATTGTCCACTAATAAAATTAATCAGTGTTCTCTGTGATGCATAAAAACAAATGCACTTGCATATCTGAACAGTCTGCCCAAGTAAAGTCTGTTTTACTGCATTTGTATGTCTACTGGACAAGCAAAGACCTCTCTGTAACATCTGTGCCATGCCTCCTCATACCCCAAAAAAAATGTCTGACTGTCTTACTTGTTGGTACTGTGAATACTTAATAGGATCCTTCTCGAACACTTCGTATGTCTGAGACTCCAAGTTGTCCATCAGAGGCTAAACAAAGAAAGCAAAACATGACGTTAAAAGGTCCTGATTAGGAGGAAAAAGCAAAACAGCCTCACAGTTTTACAATTCTACCAAACAGTGAAACTGCAGTTTCCATTCATATCTCTCGAGTATGTCATCACTTCATTACTTTATATTATTAGACATCTGTACAATATGTCACAATTAACAGATTAATTCTTGACTTAAAATGTATAGTTTGCAAGGTCATTGCATTTGACCATCAAAATCTAATCTGATGTTCCTTCAGTGATCCAACCAGACATAACTATACATCTAGCTATGGCTTCAGGTTGCACAGAGGCATACAAACGTGAGCATGAAAGGGTACTTCCTCACCTGTAGAGGTGACTGCAGGTAGTCTTCATAACCCTTAGCAAAGAGCTCGTAGGCATTGGGTGCAGGCCTGTTCTGGTTGAGGTACTCCAGGTACTGCAGGTAGGATCGGAAGTCCTTGTCAGTGTGCCGACTGGTGCCTGTGAAGATGAACTGGGCCTCCAACTAAAAAAGGAGATCATTTTAATTTAAAGATTTACTTTTTCAAAACTAGACAAAAAAAACAACCTTTTTGTATTTGATTGCAGATTGTTTGATTTTAACAGAACTCAATCTATGAATGTTATTTTATACCTTGAAGAGTCGAAAGATTATTCTCTGATGGGCTTTCGACAAAACAGGGAAGCCCTTCTTATTGGTTAGGAAGATGCTGGTGGGGAGAATGGCTGCTTTGATAGGTTCTCCGAGCCATTTATCAATCACAGTGTCTGATGGCATATCTGGTCCAATTTCAACCGCTTTAGGAATACAAACGAAGCACAATCTCAGTAACAGACAGGAGCATAATTATTTCTCAATGCCCGAAGTTTGCCCCAGGTTGCTGCTTCACAGTGTGTTCTCTCACCAAGACAGATCCTCTTGTTGTAGTCACAAAGGGTTCTGAATGAGTTCCACCTATGAAAGAAAAAAAAAAATGAGGTAAGTAAACAAAGAGAGACAGTGTTTTAAAGGAAATCAATAGTAACCATTTCAGCATGCAGACAGCACTCAGTTGCTCAGGAAGTGCCGTGGCATGAAACTAACCAGCTCCAAGTCTTCTCATCAACGCTTGTGTCATCAGTACAAGAGATCGGTTCATTCTCAGTCAGATCTTCCCGCATGTCCTCTGACGCCATCAGTGGGACGCGTATCCAGAACTAATCAACAAAGAGGACAGCAGCAGATAAATGAGGACTTTCACTGTCTTGACTTTTCTGACATCTTAACACAGTCTTTGTGTGCTTGTTGATTCCTGATGTGCTGCGTCTTACATTTGAGGTGTGATGTCCAGTGTGGATGTGATTTAGCAGCACTCGGGCTAGATTGGCATTACTGAGGCCCTTCAGAGGGATCATGAAGACAGGCAGGCCCAGGTAGGCGGAGAAGTTTAGCTCCTGAGCAAGAGCCTGGAGAGGAACATGGGAAAACAGATAAGATAAGCATTAAAAAGATGACACGATAACCTCACTCATATCTCAAGATCAAAGAACCCTTACAAGCACCATCAAACTCAAAGAACTTACAGCCTCTGAGTTTCTGCGTTCTGTCTCGATTTCTGAATCTGCATCGATCCATGGAGAGAGCTTCCCAACGATTAGAGTATTCCAATCTAGACAGAACAAAAGGACGGTTTAGAGAAAGCATCAAACACCTAACCACTTTACCTTTATGCTAAAATCACATTCTTCTGATGATGAGTATTTAATACAAAATATGAAAATGATTTGAATTAGTGTCTTAACATCTACTTTCCTTCTTAGGCTGGGCTTTAGCAGAACAAATGGTATTTTTAGGATTGGTCTTTCAGCACAACCTACCTACTTTCTGATGAAATTTGGTTTGCAGACAGATGTCCTGACATAAAGACTTCATTGCTCCATTAATTTTTGGCAAACTCCCCTGCTTCAGATGCAGCAAAACAGGCCCTGACCATGATAATACCACCACGCTTTTATGCTTTAATGCGGTGTTTTCCTTACTCCAAACAGTCTTTTAAACGTAAACTAGCAAGTTCTATTTTGGTCTCAGAAGCCCACATAAGATTGTTCAAATGCTCAGTAGTCTTTTTGCAGAGTAGCTGCTCTCTTTTTGGTGCCCTGCTATGAACAACACGTTGTTCAGATTCTGTAACCCTTTCCATCCCGTTGAACATCAGCAGTTCCTTCCTGAATCTTTCTAAAATCTCATTTATGCCATGACACACTTACACAAACGTATGTCGTCAAACTTTGATAAATTTATGTTCTATGAATAAAAAGTAATTTACTGAGAATTGTAAAGGTTGCAGTGTTTTTGGTTTAACAGACCTAATAAGAAGTTAATTTCCACTTTTAGGACTGTAAAAACTGACTATGCTTAAATTTATTTAATATTACATTTAAATAGAATTTAAAGTGACCTTGACCCCCCCTCCCAATAAATAAAGGGCACCAGTAGACCCCACCATGCCCAAAAATACCCTGCACAGAATAACACACTCAGTGTTTCCTCTCACTTTAGGGGGACTGATGATTTAATAGCTAGTAATGCCTCAGGCTGCAAAAGACAAAGGGGCAGGAAAACTGACCTCTGCCACATAACAGCAGGTCCGACCGGGTCTGGGCTCCAGGTCGGGATTTAGCGGGCTCCAGCTCATATTCCCTCCTGAACCTCGGGTGGAAGAGAGGCATGCACAGGAAGTCGAACCTGGATACCAGAGGAGGGAAGCACTTCAGTTAACATTCAAAATATTTATAATATCAGCACGAAGTAAAACACAAACCTGTTTTCTAAGTAATCCTCCACACAGCTCAAATATACTATGGGAGTAGGCAGAGCCTGTGTACTGCACACTTCACTACAGTGTCAAGCATCATTGTGATTCGGGCACGTGCTGGTAATTCACCGGCTAGCTTAGCAACCATCATGCACTGAGAACGTGCTAGCAAAGCAGCGCGTTCTGCTCATAAGCTCATTTCAGCTAAACAAAAATTACATGTAGAATCGAAAAACCGTCTTACCCAAGTTTGGCGACCGCGGATAACGTGTCGGCTATCTCTGGCACACAATTCAAATCTCTCCCGCAGGACACCCTGCTCCCTGTGCTGGCAGACGCCATGACTTTAGCCGACTGAATGAATTGATTTCTCGGACTTTCACATTGCTCTGCCTTTAGAAGAAACTGGCGCCATCTTGGCTCCTAAGGATTGCAATGCTTGCTGGCTAACAAACTTGAGACAGAACCAAGATGGCTAATGAGTGCACAAGTTGCATATCGCGTACATTGTCGCGATAATTGTGCACCGAGCGTTGTTTAAACGTTGCCATTTGATGTTTCACGGCGACTTCTTTTTCCAAGACGAACAGCTTGCTGTACTTTGATAGAGAAAATAAAAACCAGAAACCAGATTTGAGAAATAAAAACCCGGCAAGCCCTTCCTCCACTGTACAAATACAAAAAATGATTTACTACTAGCTGATAATGGGGACAATTTTTTATTTTTTATTATATTTTATTTTATGCTATGTTATTTTATTTTTTTAATATACAGATGAAAACGTATTGTTTTGTGCTGCCTGTCTGTTACTCTTTTAAATGTGCTGATAGCCTCCCGCAGCTCGCTGCACTCTACAGTAGGCTACATGGACGTCTTGCTTCTGCACACATTGTTAACTATTGTATAGTTAAACAAACATTGACCAGAAATTATTTAGCTAGACTCTTTTAGACCCACTCATTAAGAAGCAATAAAACACCACAAAAACACTTCCCTACTCATAAAATTGGTTTATTTGGCAATTTGTTCATAAATAACTAAAATTTAAAAAATATTTTTTTCAGCAGAAAATTCAGTGTTATGTGAAATAACATTACTGCTGAAGATGTTTTATCCTCAGATCATTTTAAAAATGGCATGCTTTATTTAATCATCAGTAATTTGTGATATTCTTTAAAAGTATGTCTGTAGTTGCTGCTGGCCAAGGTGGTCAGTCAGATAAAAACTTGTCTGTTATGATGATATATCACAGAAGCTCCTCTATTATATCTGGTTGTGTTTTCACATGCGAATACAATGAGAAAACGGTGCAGGTCTCTGACACTGATATATGTGAAACGGAAACACCTACAGTTTCCATTGGGATCCAGGCAGGCGTGCTTTGTGGAAAGTACAATAGCCAGTTGCAGCCTACCGATGACAGTGTTGTAAAAGATGGATGAAAACAAGCAACAAAGTTTTATGACAGAATGCTGTTTGAGATGAAAGGCAAAAGATCACTTTCACTTTGGTACGTTTTGATTGATTTCTATTTATAGATTCAACTAGGCAGCACCGCTTGCTTTGCTTGTCCTTACTGAACTCCACTTGTAGGACTTGCAGAAAGTGGCTTCTGCGGATATCAGGTTCACAGCATGTAGGCTAAAATATCACTTACATAAACCATAAATGGTTTTGGATATGGAACACGGCGTGTGTATATGTGTGTGTTTTTCTACCAGCTGTCACACCTGCATGAGCTATAAAAGCGCAAGAACTCAGAAGCAGATGAGAAAGAGTAGCAGCATCCGCCCTCTACAAACCAGATCTGTTTCTTTGACACTTAAGATTGTGTTTGATCAGCTTTTCAGTGGATAGACTGTGTTTGAGAACAACTTTTGTTTACTTTTCAACAGAAAAGATGTTCTGATTTTGTGATCAAGTATCTGTGTCTACACCATCATGGCTTTGGAAGATGTTTGCAGCTTCAAAGAAAGGCCGGTGCAACATAAATGGTTTTCTTTTTCATCTCTGGGGGACGCAGCAATTCCATTTCCTACGAGTGACTGTTACAACCTAAGATACTCAAGACTGGAAACATCTGAAAACAACTGTGGAGTTCCACTGCATTTTTTTATACCACCTCTTCCACATTCCTCCTCTTTCATCAACAGACCGTTGTCATCCTTCTGCCCACCCAAAAATTCAATGACAGTCCAGAGGCCTTTCCGTTTGGCTCATGGAACAACAACCCTGGGTTTCATCTTCCAAGGTGGGGTAATAGCAGCAGCAGACACACGTGCCAGTGCCGGGGGGCTTGTTGCCTGTCCGGCTGTTCATAAGATCACCCCTATGCACTCTCATCTAGTGGTCACATCTTCTGGTAGTGGTGCAGATTGCATGCTGTGGGAGAGAATTCTGATTAGAGAGATCAGACTGTACCAGTTACGGCATGGACATCGCCTTTCAATACGTGCCACAGCTAAGCTCCTTTCATCTATGCTCCATCCTTTTAAAGGTACTGAAATGTGTGTTGCTCTTACACTGTGTGGTTGGGATAAGCAAGAGGGTGCTGCTGACTGTGCAACAAGTTTGGAAGACTCACCCTGGATGACTGATGATAGCTCCTTGGCTGTTTTTAGTAACCAAAACATTACTGCAACAACTTCTCCAAACAGCGGTCCAAAGCTTATATATGTGTGCAGTGACGGAGCCCGACTGCAGGGAGATGTCTTCTCTGTGGGCTCAGGCTCACCTTATGCTTATGGAGTCTTGGACAGAGAGCTGAGGTGGAGCCTGAGTAAAGGAGAAGCCATCTCATTGGCAAGAGAAGCAGTGTTCAGGGCCACTCACAGGGATGCCTACTCGGGGAACAATGTGGACCTTTTCCACATCACAGCACAAGGATGGAGCCAGAGAAAGAGAGAGGACTTGAAAGAAGAATATTACAGAGATAAAGAAAAGAAGGGAAAGAAAAAGAATGACAAACTCAAATAATACTTAATAATCAAAAGCATTTATGTGTGGGAGGAAATTATGATGTTATATTTATCATTGAAAAGTAAATTTAATAATAATCACACACATTTACACTCTGATGGATGGATCGGAGAGTAACTTGGGGTCAGTATCTTGCCCAAGGATTCTTGACATGCAGACTGGAGGAGCCTGGGAACAAACCACCAACCTTCTGATCAGTGGGTGACCTGCTCTACCTCCTAAGCTACTAATGGGCAAGCACAGTGGCTTGAGGTTAGCGCTGTTGCCGTACAGCAAGAAGGTCCTGAGTTCGATTCCACCATCTTTCTGGGGTCTTCCGGGGTCTTTCTGTGTGGAGTTTGCATGTTCTCCCTGTGTTTGCGTGGGTTCCCTCCAGGCACTCCGGCTTCCTCCCACTGTCCAAAGACATGCAGCTTGTGGGGATAGGTTAATTGATTAATCCAAATTGCCCATAGGTGTGAATGTGGGTGTGAATGGTTGTCTGTCCCTGTGTGTTAGCCCTGCGACAGACTGGCGGCCTGTCCAGGGTGTACCCCGCCTCTTGCCCTATGACAGCTGGGATAGGCTCCAGCGCCCCCCGCGACCCTGAAAATGATAAGCGGAAAGTGAATGGATGGATAGATAATAATAATAATGATAATAATAATAGCTGTGGAATAAAAGGTATTTCCTTTACCTCACACTTTTTTTAACCAATACACCGCCACAGACACAGGGGGCGCTGTTTGATTTTGTTACCGTGACAGAATAAAAAAAACTACCGCGGCGGATGTTGCTTGTTCATCATACATTTTCAAAGATGGCCCTTGCTAGTGTGTTGAGCGGTGATTCTGCGGATTTTTTGTTTGATAGTAGCCAGTCCTTTGCTTTTGGTGGCGGACCCGGACCAAGAGGTCTGGGGTTAGAAGGCACGCCCGAGGACAGCCTCAGTTTTTCCGTTAAAAACCCGCTGTGTGTCGGAGACGATGATGGCGTCGAAAGGAAAATAGAGTTTCTGCATGGAACCACCACCTTAGCATTCAAAGTAAGTTAACGGTCCAGTTATTGTAGCTATATGGTATAAGAAACCCCAGTAGCAGTTGTATACCTGTCTAAACTAGACGTTTGATAAATTTTGACTTTACATATCATACGCTAGGGTTTCCGGTATAAATTGTCTCTGATGTTAGCATGCTAGCGTGGCTACAAATCGCTTTCTCATGACAGATGTGCATGGTACATGAGATGGGTGATGTGCACGTAAGTAAACGTAAACAAGTAATCTCTCTAATATGTTCACTATGTATAGTATTAAGACCAATCGTGAATTACGTAGGCTTACGTTGACGTTTCTCAGTCAATTTAAAAGCAAAAATGTGGGTGTTTTAATAACATAGTCACGTGAATTTATATAGTAGGAAATCTGACGTGTTCTTCCCTAAAAAGTGCAACAAGTACACACTTTTTGATGGTTACAACTTAAAAGAGCTACCTAAACGTGTGTTATTTCCAAAGTGATTTGTGCTGAGTATGTAAATGTGTTTCATCCATAGGAGAGCCTAACCGACACAGGATATTTTGGCTGATAGTATACATTTTTAAGGGTTTTAAAATAAACTCGTGCCTTTTATATACTTGAAATATGTTCAGTTATATACCGAAAAGGCAAAACAGTGCGTTCCTCACAAACTAATCGCCTACCACCTCTTCAACTTGAACCCCAACTTTTAGACACTGTGTAGCGTGTTGTAAACAACAGAAGCAGCCCCAGGTGTTGGGGAAAGTACACGGAGAGACCATTTCTCACTTATCTCGAGTATCGTTTTATATATTTTGCTCCGAGGAACATCACATCATGTTAGAGGTTAAAATGTGATGATCTTTCATTATTATGTCATTACTATGTTCAGTGACGTTGCAGTAGGAAGGAGAAAAGCACAAAGGTCCTTTAATAAGATTCCTGTTAATTGTATTCAGATGTATACATGTATAATGTGTTGAATGAATTAAAGTCACACTTTCTGTGAGTCTTCTTTTCAACTGTGAGTTCTCCATACCTGCTTTTCTAAATGTTATTGTTAAAACACACATGAAGTTTTGATGGAAGAAGACGTGTATTCGATTAGTCGTGACTGTGATGCGCACAATAAAAACAAACTTGCATTCTCACGAAAAGAAGCCAAGAAATCTCTAGAAAGTGGAAATGTTCTTTTTGATGTTGTACATCAAAGTAGAAAATCTAAAAGGGGGAAAAATAAATCTTGATTTCTAGAAAGTTTAAGGCTTGCTGTTGTTTTTTTGTGCTGTAAAGATTTAAGCAGTGTCTCTGAGGATACATTTATTTGTAATTAACAATCCTTCCCTAAAAAACCACCAAGATTCCATTGACAGGCTTATAAACTGGCATGTACAATTGGCGATGCATAAATACATTCTGCCTCTGTGCCGTAGAAACCCCCGATTGAAAACATTTAAAACGGCATGAAAGAGCCTTGCTGTTGATTTGTCATCACAATTGAAAACAGCCATTGTAGTCTTCTCCCTCAGTTTGTCAAACGCTGTGGAGCAGTGTAAATACAGAACCCTGCTGATGGCTTTTGTCTCTTCAGGGGATTTGTTGATACAAGTAAAAGATAAAAATAACGCCATCCTTATCCCTTAATCCCTTAATGAAAACATCCCCCACAGACATCTCCCTCTGACTGGCCAAATCTGTTGTCTACTATACTTGCTTCTGTGACTGTCAGTTCGCTGATAGAGGATTTTGGAAGGAAGAGCAAAAGTCTTTCCTCTTATCCAGCAGCTTTCTGCTAGAGCCGAACCGTATATTGCACCTCTCTGACAGCTGTAGAGCAACAGCTCTTTTTTTTTTTTTTTGGCCTCATTTAGGCAGAACTGCTGCAAGCGATCTCTTACTTAAATTTAGAGCAAGTGACTCTATTCTGTTAAAAGCAGTGGATGTAGGGGAGGGCATTAAAATGTATTATGCACTGGTAAGTAGTGTAGCTGTTTAAGAGAGAGGGGCACTGATTGCAAAGTTCTGGGCCACTGCTAATGTTTAAAATGACAATTTGGCTGCGAGCCAGTGCCAGTTGATTTTAACTGTTTAACCCAACAGATCGATCGATCACTGACATCGGTAAATGCCATCTTTGTGTCTTTTCTTAATCAATGTACTGATATCAGTCTAGTACTTTAAACATATGGTTTTGTGAGGAACTTGTGGAAATGTGGGCTACCCGACCCATTTTTTGACTGCCGTTTCCCCTCTCAGTTCCAGCATGGAGTTATCGTTGCAGTGGACTCTCGAGCCACAGCAGGCTCCTACATCGCGTCACAGACGGTCAAGAAGGTGATTGAGATCAACCCCTACCTACTGGGTACTATGGCTGGAGGAGCTGCAGACTGTAGCTTCTGGGAGCGCCTGCTGGCCCGCCAGTGTCGCATCTACGAGCTTCGCAACAAGGAGCGCATCTCAGTGGCAGCCGCCTCCAAGTTGCTTGCTAACATGGTGTACCAGTACAAAGGCATGGGACTTAGTATGGGAACCATGGTCTGTGGCTGGGACAAGAGAGGACCAGGTAACATCAACTGTTATATCTGACACGGACATGTCATTTTGTCTGGTTATAAACTGATCTAGATAGAATTTGTACTACTTTAAACTGTACCAGTATCAAGATATGCAGTGCTTCCTTGAACTGATTGTAGGACAATTTGTATAGTGTCAAATCAAAACAACATTTTCCTTGAGGCACTTTCTAGTGTAAGGTAAAGACCTTACAGTAATACAGAAAACCTATAATGGTACAGTAATAAACATATTTTAGCTAACATTCACACACATTCTGTCTACAATGAATATATCAGAAGCAGCTTGGGATTCAGTGTCTTGCCCACAGATGCTTTGGCATGGAGACTGGAGCAGTCAGGGATTGAATTACCAACCTTCCAAGTAGTAGATGACCTGTTCTACTTCCTGAGCTCCATTATCTCCCCTAATGGGGAGATAAAACTGGCAATCTGGAATCAAGTTGACCTCATGAAAAACTATGCAGTCTGTGAAAATTGTTCTTGAAAATGGTAAATTTGGAGAAAGAGCAGCAGAACGACATCCAGCAAAGTACAGCTGGCCTGGAAACCAAATGTGGACTTAGTGACTGAGTCCAACACTTGTCTGCCTGCTGCTGGTTCTCCTAAGAGTGGCCTTTCTGCTTGGAGTAGATCTCTGAAGCAGAGCAAGGGGCACAAGTTGAAGTGTGTATGAATACAGGGAAAGAGGCTTTCTGGAGATGGAGCTGAATGTGTAGCCAAATTAGCCTCCTGTCAAAACAGGAGAGTCCAGGTGGTTAGCAGCTAAACTTTAAAAATATAAAAGAGGGGATTGTGAACTGGTGAATGTATGCTGATTTTGTCTTACTCAAAAAAAAGTCCCCAATATTCTTGTATGGGATATAAATGTTTAATCTCTTTGTTGCCGTTTGTGATTCAGCTTTTAAGTAATGCACTTAAATCTACTCAACACACATCAGCTTTTCTCTCTTGACATATGCTAATGGGTCTGTTTTTATGTGAAAGATTATTTTGGCAGCTTAATCATGCATCGGTTTTGTTTCTCAGTGTTGTCAAAGATCCTTAGTCCCAGGCAAATTTCAAAGAGGCTTCATTATTCATTCATTCTTCATTATTTTTTAAGCATGAGTTTGGACATGAGTGGTTAGCTGTTTATTATTTAAATGAAATATACTACAGCTGGGCTGTGCGGATAATTATCATTTAAGAAAAAAACAAACATATGCATTACTCCGGGTTAGCCACTAGGTGTCACTGCAGCCTTTCTTTTGCTCTGTCTGTTTTAGTACCTTAAGCTGTAGCTTTTGAATACCACACAGTGTGAGGCTGTACATCACAGAAGGTGTGCTTAAAGAGGCCGCCACGGTGACACAGTAATGGGAAATCGATGAGGCTGGGACTGCAGGCCAGTGAGAGCACGGTGGGATGATGGACATTGGGTCTCA